CTTTATCCATTGGCCTTGCAAGTACGTCCTTCCAGATTTGTTCATGTGCAATATTGAGCTGAGATCCAGTGTCAATGATAGCATCAACAGGTACATTGTCACAATGCATCTTCAATTTAATGAGAGTGCCTCTTGACCGTGCAATAAAGGAAGCTGAGACTGCTGAAGAATTAAAACTGGCAGAGGTTCTTGCTAATGCCGCAGTAGCTTTTGGAACATGTTGAAGTTTAGTGGCAGGCTTAGGCTTAAGGACATCCAGGAGGTGTGTGCTCATTTCCTTTGACATTCCAAAGACTTCTCCAACAGCTAAGGTAACAGGTGTATTCAAGACTTTAGTGAGCACATTGAGACGATCGACCTGAGCTTGAATCTCAGAACGTCGAGGAATTCTCTTCTCAGGTGAATGATTCTCCAAGTTCTTTGAAGCATTCCTTTCACCGAGTGGCTCTCGCATTCCAAGTTCCTCATCCATGATGATATCTGAATGATTGTCAACTGGAATATCTCTTTCCACATCAACAGGTACAGGTTCAGGTATCTTTCCATTAGATGGGTACTCAAAGTTCTTCTTTCTTGGAAGTACGTTCTCTTTGTTTCCCTTTGCTGATCTTGTTTTCTCGTCCCTTTTGTCTAGAAATTTTCTTGGGGGCATTAAGACTCCTTCGAACTTTTCCTTTCTAGCAGCAGTAGTAGACTTGGGAGTTCGAGTCACAGGCCAAGCGGCATTTCTTCCATCTCCTTCATCATCACTTAGTTCTCCATCTTCACCTACTTCTTGATAGTCCTCATCTGTTACTTCTTCAATAGTGGCATGATTGACAGCTATAAAGTTGGCTTGAGGTGTAGGATGCAAACGTACTGCAGCAGTTGCCAAAGGTTCATCAAATGCAATCTTCATGATCGGTTGTCCATTTGCCATGACATAGCGTCCGGCAGGATCTCGACTCACAATGCCTTGAGATAGAAGTTCAGTCATTCTGGGACAGAACCTTGTTCCATGCCCAGTCTGACCACATCCGAAACATCTTCTATCACCAGTAGGTGCATTATCCATGTGAGGAGGCATCTGCCTTTGCATTGGAGGTCTAGAGCTATTATTGAAGAATTGTCCAGAAGGTTGAGCATTTATCCTTTGATGACGTTCATTAGGCTTTGGTACAATATCAGCAACCAAGGGATCGAGTCGACAGGCTCTGAAGTAGGATATCGCATAGGCAGGATCCTCAAGTGACATCTTGTTGAGCTGGTTGATAAGTTCCTCAACCTCACTGTCCTTTTCCTTCTTCCTGGTTGGTCTTGCACTCTTGTTGATCTTGGCCTCGGGCTTCTCTTCTTGCTCTGATTTCTTCTTCTTCTTCAGCTTCTCTCTACTCATCTTTTCCTTCCGCTTCTTCCTCAACTTCTTCACATGCTGTGCTATTTTCTCATCATCTGAGCTATCAGAATCTGAGTCAGAACTTTCTGAATCACGGTCACTGTCTTCAGAGTCTTCATCTTCACTTTCGTCATCCTCACCATCTGACAGATATCCCTCTCTATCAAAGCGGTTGCACTGCAGGAGAGCTTTAGCAGCTTTGTGGATGCTTTCCATGCTGAATGGATTGCTGAGATCATGATCTGGAGTCTTGGCAAGTAATCTTGCTTCCAGTCGATGTCTAAAGGGTTTAGGGATTCCCTTCCAGAAGGTAATTGCCTGAGTGTCCTCAGTAATCTTTCCTTCTTTTTTAAGCCATCCAGCAATCTTGATGAAGCCTCGATTGTATTCTTTCCAGGATGAAAGATTACGAATAGTCTTGTGGTCAGACTTCCAGTTCTTGACATATATGACGAGGTCTTTGGGGCGGTATCTCTTTGAGTCTCTTTCAGCATCATAGAACTCCAAAAGGTCTCTGGTAAACTGATCCCAGTTTCCTGACTTATAGCTTGAAAGTCCTTCCATAAATTCTCGTGCATCCCTTGAACAGTACTGCGTAATATTCTCTATCTTCTCTTGAGCATCGGTCACTCCTTTCTGAAGACAGAGTCTTTCGTAGTGCTGGACAAAAGGCTTGATCTCTGAGTACTTTCCTTTGAATTTCTTCGGAGCATTCTTCGTGCCAGGGATTGGTAGGTCGATTACACCTAGGTGTTGAGGTGTAGTCATTGCAGTAGCGGTAGTGTGTGTAGGGATAGGGTTTTGAGGTGGAAATGCAAGTGTTGAGGATGAAGGTGAAGGTGTTAGAGGTGATGATGGTGGTGTTGTACTTCTCAAAGCACCTTGGCTGCTCACACTTGAAAGCGATAATATGGCCAAGTCAGAGGTATCAGACATACAACAATTAGAGTAAAAACCCAGCCCTCGCAGTGGGCTCCACTGATGTCGGTCAGAAAAAGAAAAACACTCTCAAAGAGATGAGAGGCCAAAGGTTTCTCTTCTGCAGAAAAGTTTCCGGGTGAGACGTTACACCGGGTCTTTCCTGTTGTTCGTTTGGGGTGAGGGGAGGTTTACCGTGTAGTCTGACAATAAAGTAGACTTGACTGGCTATACCACTGAAAGGAGTGTGTTTTTAAGGTAAGTGAAGTCTTAAGCAAGGTATGCCTTAGAGTTCACAAGAGAAAGGAAAGGGATTTAGGATAGCAATCTCAGGTTAAGACAAAGTCAAAGATACACGAAGGTACAATGACCAGCTTTTCTTAAGAAAAGAGTAGGTGTTGAGAAAATTTGAAAGCAGCAGAAGTGGCAGATCGCTTCAGGCTTTTCACTTGCACTTCACAAAGAGAGAGTGTCAAGCTTGGGGACTTTGAGCTTTGCAGGACTTTAGAAATGATAGAATTTGGGGCAGAACTTTAGGGAAATTACAGGAACTTGAGGGGCACAGGCACACTACTACAGGAAATAAGGGGCTCATTATATACAATCTAGAAAGGGGCTGTGCTATGGATGACCAAGCTAAATTTGTAAGAACTTGCTTCACTTACTTGATGAGAGAATGCAGGTGCTTATTAATGAAACATGAATTTAGCACTAGAATCCATGCTTGAGTCATCTATTTTCAGCCTGGAGTAGTCTAAACCAGTCTCAGGCTGATTCCAGATGCTTCTAAAGGATTCTTTACTTACAAATCTGCATTCTTTCCTGACTCATAGGGGTGTCTGATGACTCATAGGGGCATCCGATGACTAAGAATGACTTAAGATGAGTCAGAATGATCTTTTGATGAGTCACAATGGCCTTTTCTGACTCATTAGGGGCTTTATGAGTCATGGTGAGTCTTGATGACTCAATGGCCTAGTGCTTCAAGAATGAAAAGTCCATTCTGAAAGGAATGGAGAGCTCAGTTGTCGATCGATCAAGATTTGATGATCGTGCATCAGATATTAAGGTCTTTCGATCAGTTGGTGCTTGTATGGCCAGGTGGCTTCACTTTGCACACTACACCTTCCTTTCTGAGATTCCTTATCTTATCTGGTATCACTTGGAGATTGCCGAAATTGAAGGTTTGATCAGTTATTGTTCAAGAAAGCTGAGTTGAGTGACGCACTCTTCTTTCTTCAAACACCGCACTCTTTCTTCTGAAGTGTGTACTTGCCAGTATTATCGTAAACTTTGGTAAGTTTGCTAAGCATCCTATTCAGACCTTCTGGACATATCTCTAAGTCCATAGGATCTTTTGTGGACGAATTAGGTGCTTGCGCGGTACTTTGAACAGTTGGTATTTTCTCAGAAGTTGGGAATACGTTGAAAAACCCTTTTGACAATATGAGCTGGGTACGTATCTTCAGATCATTTAAACTCTTCATAACTCATTAAAGAGTGATCCCCTTGTAGATCGAAGAAATGAAGGCTTTGGAGCCTCCTCCTTCAAGTACGAAGGTGTTTCTTGAAATCTTTGGTATCATCTGTGGAGTCGTAGCCTTCCTTTGTGGAGTGTATCTTATAATGAGGTACATTATTAAACATGAAGATCGCTCTAGGAGTTCAGGAGGAGGACCGTCATCGTAAAACATGTACTTTGATCCATATTCATTATGTTGCCTATCTTCACCTCGCCAATTTATAGATTATTTATTCATCATCATGTCACCGTAAAGTAACATGCTTGAAGATGCGAATAAACAATAGTCTTGACTGATCTGCAGTCATTTCCGGTCTTTTCTGAGCATACACAGACTTTACCAGTGTTGAAGGTCCAGTTAAGCGCCTACTGCTGACGTGGCACTGCCAGGCGATGATACTTGTCTTTAGAAGCTGTCTCCTTCAGACAGATTCGAGTTTCAGATCCACCTGTCTTGAGATTAGGTAAGTCTTACTCCTTCTAGTCTGGTTTGGTCATATTCACATTCGACTTTCAGATTCTGAAACTGCCTCATGGCCACTACAACGTGTGTCACCTTGCATGCGTGTTCAGAGTATCAGTCTAATGTCTTTTTCTGACCTATCGCTTCTTTAGGATCATCCTGGAGTCTTCCTCAGCTGCTCCCACTCCTTTGGCTTATACCACGGTCTCTAAGCCAACAGTAATTGGAGTCGTCGTCCTCCTTGGTACTTTGATGTTAATCATGGTCGCCTTGTGGCTTTGGTGTATGTTCTTTGCTCCTCGACGCATTTCTCGTGGTGCACGCAACCATGCAGCAGCTCCTATTGCAATGGTCTCATTGTCTTCTATTCACTTCAAGACAGTTATTGTCCCTTCCACTCCTTCATCTTCATCAGCCCCTCCCTTGGATTCTTTGACTACTTTGGCTCAGACTTCATCGTCATTGGTACATTCCTCACGTTCTTTACCTTCCATTCTTCATTCTCGTCACTCTTCCTCTTCATCTGTAGAAGATTTGAGGCATACGTTGTCAGTTTGAATTAAAGTCGGACTTGAGGTTGAGGAGGTCATTTATTGTACTTGTTGTCATTGGCATACCCTAATTATTGTCGTATCTGCAGTGTGACATTGTCTTGGACTTTCGTATTCAGTGTTGAATATCGAAGTGATCTGTCCATGTGCCAAACACTTTTGGTGCAGGACACCGGGCTGACACTGTGCTTGCACTATTTTTGGAGATTGTCAAGGTACATGGCCTCCCATGCCGTTTACGTGGAGATCATGGTGTTGAGAATGTACGGGTTGCTGAAGAGATGGAGGAGAAGCGAGGGCCAAATCGTGGATCATATATCTGGGGCAGGTATGAAGACTTTTATACTACTATTGTTTCCTCTCTGAATGTATTCTAGGAGTGTTCACAATATCCGCATTGAACGCCTATGGCTCGACTTTACCCAAGGAATAGGTGCCAAGTGGAAGACATTTTTTCAAAAGTTGGAGACTTGTGATGGTTTAGATCCAGATATTCCTGCACACATTTGGCTGCTTCATCACCTCTTTCTGGATGAGCTCAATGATGAGATTCACCAGTGGGCAGAAACATGGAACAATCACAAGATATTCACTCCAGGACTGGGTAACAAATCTCCACAACAGCTCAAATTCTGGAGTATTCTAAAGGATGGAGGCCGTGGCTTGCCAGTACCTGTGCAAGAGCCTATCTCAGAGGAGGAGATTCCAGAGTATGGTATTGATTGGAATGACTATGCTAATCCAGCTTTACAGGCTCATCACAATAATGCTAATGCTTCAGATGTTTTAGGAAATAATCCTTTTGTGATCTATCAGCCTGAGACTCTACATAATGTAGAGGTCAATGAGCCAAATTGTCCACTTTCTGCTGCTCAGGTTGTTCAACTAGATAACTATATTATGACTTTAGATGATGATACTACAATGGCAGCCAGAAAGAAGGTGTGGATTCTAGCATTAGCTTTTTGTATAAACTTGATGAGAGAAAATTAGATGCTTAGAAGTAGTGCTCCATATATTAGCAGCTAGCTATTGAATTTTTTTTTTTTTTTTTGCTATTGAAAGGTCTATAAATCTGGTAAGACTAGTAAATTAGCTTATATATTGATTACTCAAAATCTTGCACTTGAAGTTTATTGCTTAAATGTAGTCTGTAATGATTCACAAGACTCAGATGATTAAAGATTAAAGATACTTTGAATAATAGTAAATAAGACATTTTTAATACTATAATATTTTGTTTAGGAGATGGTATTGATATATATGCATATCTACTGGGCTATATTTACTTGATACATCTGATACAGTAGGAATCAAACTTCTAAAGAAATGTACTAGGTCCTGTTATATAATAATATAGTCTTGAGATGTGGCAACTTGAATTGACAATATCTGTCTAAGAAACTCTCTACAGTCTAAACTTGCAGAGTGGCTATACAAGTGCAGCTATTTGATACTAGAAGAATGGTGCAAGAGAATTAAAGATATAAAGACTAAATTTATATATATATATTGATAGGTTAGAGTCAATATAATACAGCAATAATAGTGAGATAGCGAGCACAGATTAGGAGCATACAGTCTGCAGCAGAGATGCATCATCTTCAGATGGAATAATTATATTAGACCCTGTTCAATGATGTAATACAGTTTCTTCATTATCTTTATTGTAATATTTGTTCTCAGCAATTTTCTCTCTTTTATTATCACTTAATAGTCTATCTCAATTTGATGTATTATTTTATATATCTGGTCTTTATCTCTGTATCTGTAGTGATGCCCTTATAGTAATATAGTCTATATAGTGATATTTATAGTAATATCATAATTTACATAGTGATACTTGTATAAAAATTAACATGATCATGCTAGAATGAAAACTATATATGAGAGATCTACAATATTGAAAAGTCTATTTGTATAATATAGTCTTAGTTCATTTCTACTTCTTATACTTCTTAAATATTAATGCCCCATGTACTATTAGTTTGTTTTACTTATATAGCAAAGTTTAATAATTATCATGCTAGAGTAGAAACTAGATGTGGAAGATCTACAATATTGAGAACTCTGATAGTATAACATAGTTTTAGCTTATTACTACTTCTTATATTTCTTAGAAATTAATGCCCCATATGTTATTGATTTATTTTACTTATATAGCAAAGTGATCAGTATAGTTAATAGTGTGATAGAGTTAGATTGTTTAGCATCTTTGATTTATACTCATTACTCTAGAGCTTCATATATCTCATCTATAGCACATTCTCTATATTGGAAAACCTACTAACAATATTCATACAATAATTAATAAATATGATAGTCAAATATAGTTAAAAATATATATAAACTATTATCACCACTACTGGCATACTCATTATAGCAACAAGTACACTGATGCTCAAACTCAGATTGGCTATAGAACTGAATCCTAACATTTTAATATCTGATCACCAGTGTAAGAAACTTCAAGTATCATCTTTGTTGAAATAGGCGCCCGAAATAGGCGCCCAAGCTAATGCTATTTCTGGATATATTGGCCAAATTGGGAAAAACCAAATCAAAATTGCAAAAATGAAATGACAAAACCCAAATCACCAAATCAAAACTGCAAAAACCAAATCGCAAAATCAAAACACCAAAACTGAAATCGCAAAACCCAAATTGCAAAATCAAGAGTGGAAGGTGCAAAGCGAAATCCAAATAGTTTTGTCCAGTAAAACCCGTTATACAAACTGGCTTAACGTACCGATCATAGATTGAGATAATTTCAACGAGATGGATGATGCGTCCAATGCAAATTGTGGTGACAGCTATCAAGGAGGCACGTTAGTTAATCAATAATCTGATTCAACTTGAATCTTGGGTTGCCAGTGGACAATTCACCGGAGATGACAGAAAGATGACGGTGAAGACGTTGACGGCGGCCAGATTCAGGGGAACCAGCGTCGAATTAATGTTCTTAGCAGCGCCGAGAGCTATTCGAAGCAGAGTCTTCTGCTGTCATGTTCGCGGACAATGACCCGTTGAAACAAATATAAGCAGAACCTGGACACCTGTGACAGAATATTATTTAATGGTTGGATGATGCCCTTCGAAGGTTCAACCTTCGATTCTGCTCGCATCGCCGTCCGTCACTGACACAAAACAAGCTAAGAGAATCGCAGCATGATACTTTTCTTCGTAACAACTTCTCTGAGTGATCTTCATCATACGAGTACAAGGCCCTGGGTAGGCCCATATAAAATACCGCATCGTTCACGTTGTCAAGCCGATATTCCGAGTAAAATCCCGACGCGTCTGCTGACAACATACTGTCTCAGGGCCTTACACATAAAATGTTAGCTTTACGGCTTTCGAGAGTTGAGATGGGTACGCGAAACCTTGGAGGAGGTTTGCCTTGTTTTACCGAGCGCTCTGTCTCCCCACACGAACTCCAAGGCACCGAGAGTAACCATGGGGGCGATCAATCAAGATAGGGTGCCTGATCGTGATCGTTCCGTTAATCGAGGTGGAGGCTTTTAATTTTGGCGGTGAATGAACCCGGCGACTATGCATACTTGATGCATACAGGAAAATGAGCTCGGTTTGGAGGTCTTTAAGCTTTAGGCTCCAATCCAAGACGGACACGACTTTTCACGTTGGGGATTTCTTTCGTTGGAATGTAAAAGGTTTGTGAGTCATATCTATTAAGCTACTTACGGTCTCGTCCGGGAGCAAGGGGGCAGAGGAGGGAGATCGGCATAGGCACAGGGAGAGAGCAACCCGGAAATAGACTTCGAGATGTCGGGAAGCGAAAGGATGACAGAGGAAGAACATATGTTTACCTCCTTCCATTCTCCGCATGGGAACAAGGTGTTGTCTGGCGCACGTTCTATCGCTCATATCACAGTTCATGTTTGTTCATCCTGATGTTTCTGGTGCGTTGTAAGCACCGTTGTTGCCTCGCCGAGATAGGCTGCGGTTAATACGAGGATATCATGATGTGTACGGCGCGCAATGATCGCTTAACGAGGTGGTAGACAGAGCGAGAGGTTGGTGAGCGGATCTGGAGCGGACGAAGACACAATTGAGAATCGGCCGGCGAGGTGGACAAACAGGGACCCGCTCCTTCCTGATCGAGCGCCGGTGCCCCTTGTTACTGCCGTGAGGTCCGGTTGGCTCTGGCCAGACCTCCTGGCGCGCCTGCCAGATAGATGGAAGGTTTCGAGATGTTATATATACCTGCGCTCCTCCTGAGGCGAGGTCAACAAGACTTCCTCCTCAGGCTCCTGTATTTTCAAAAGTCTCGGTGGTCGTTTGTCCCCCTTCCGCTCGAGCTCCCTCTTTTCTCTCTCTTTCGCTGGGTTTCACTCCAGCTAACCACTTTCCCTAATCCCACCTATCGTCTCTCGCTTTAACCACGCCTTGAAATGGTTTTCTTTTTGCGCATCCCCTTGCTTGCTGCAGCCATCGCGGCTTTGCCTGCTGCTAATGCAGTCCACTGGATCTTCGGTGGAACGCAAGAGCTTGTCGTTACTCGACTTGATCCCGTTGTCAATCCTGGCACTGTAAGTCAATTGTGTTCAGTTTTCTATGAAGCAGTAACACGTTTATATGGAAGCGGAGTCCATCTAAACGTGTTGCTACGTTATTATTTCTTTGAATAAGTCTTCTGTTTGCTTCTGTTCTTCGAAATCAACGCTCAGAGAGCATCAGCATTGACAAGCCGCCAAGGAGCCGGATAGATGTGATACGAACTTTGCAAACACGTTCCGCGTCGAACGGTGGGAAGATTTCGTGCAACTGTTTGGTATCGCAGTTTCATATCCCGATTTGGTCGGGTACTTCAGGCACCCGTGTTACGCCCTGTATCGAATGACGCGTACCATTCTAAGACGCTGCCTGGCTGTAACAGCCTGTTAGACGACTCCGTGTTACCTTGAACTATCCAGGGGTTGAGGAACTTGTCATTACGATGCGTCGCGCTGCATTAAATCTACACATTCTGCATGCATAATTCATCTCAGCCTCTTACTGACCGCGCGGTAATTTTCAGGTTGGTTCTCACGTCCACAGTATCACCGGTGGAAGTGGATTCGGCGAAACCTATGACTATGACTCACTCGTTCAGAGTCAATGCACTAAAATTGTCGTACCTCAAGATAAGAGTAACTATTGGACTGTATGTCTTTTCGATATTTTATACGCGTCTCGACTCTCAAAGTATTTGCTAATATGTCTTTGGCATTCTAGCCCAAGCTCTATCATTTCAACAAGCAGAATGCGTCTCTCACGGCGATGCGTAAGTTGTTTGAAGCAGCGCTGCCCACGAATGACAAATTAATTCTGACCTTATTCATGCAGCAAACTCTTTCAACATTTATTACCTCGTTCGCGGTGACCAGACCGGCGACAAGATCAAGGCTTTCCCTAAGGGTCTCAAGGTCCGTGCATTTATTCACTGCTTTGGACCTTTCCCAACATGCTCTCTAGATGGTCGCTGGTGATCCTACCAGAAAGACCTACGATGCCTCCAGCCATGCCGACCAGGCCATCAGCTACGTTTGTCTCGGTACGTAACTGTTAAATTACCGCATCGTGTCCTCTCCGCTCACCGTAAAAAAAATGCCAGATTACAGCGGTGCTCACAATGGTGACCCTGAATGGAACGAACGTCCCAACTTCTTCCAACACAACTGCCCCAACGGTATGCGTGCCCAGGTCTTCTTCCCCTCCTGCTGGGATGGCAAGAACCTCGACAGCCCAGACCACAAGTCTCACATGTCCTACCCCGTCGAGAACTACAACAACGGCCGCTGCCCATCTACCCACCCCGTTCATTTGGTCTCTCTCTTCTACGAGATGATCATCTCTGTTGATCAGTTCTCCTATGATGGTCCGGGTTCTTGGGTCTGGGCTTCGGGCGATACCACCGGTTACGCCTTCCACGGCGATTTCACCAACGGATGGACTGATTCCGATCTCTTGCAATCCGCTATCGATGACTGCCCCAATGCCGCTGGCAACGTTGCTGACTGTCCTCATCTTGCTGCCGTAATGGACCAACAAGCTGCTGCGGCTTGCCGTTACCCTGGTGAGATTGTCAACGAAGATATCGGTGACAAGTTCCCTATTGCCGTTTTACCTGGATGCAATCCTGTATGGGATGGTACCGGTACTAAGCCTGCTTGCCCGTCTGCTGGCGCTACTCCTTCATTGGGTGGTACTCAAGAGAAACTTGCTACCGGATGGACTGAGGTTGGATGTATTGCTGAGGCTACGAATGGACGTGCGCTTACGGGTGCTCAATTGGTCGATGCGACTGGTATGACTAAGAATAAGTGTGCTCAATTCTGTCAGAGCAAGAATTTCAAGTTTGCTGGTATTGAATGGTCGGTGGTGTTGTGTTCTAATGTTTTGGCATTCACCTGAATTTTTTTGCCTGCACTTTCGTTAGGTCTCAAGAATGCTACTGTGGCAACAGTTTCAGCAATGGTGCATCTAGCAACACCGTTGCTTCTACTCAATGCAGCAATTCTTGCGCTGGTAACAGTAAGTCATCGATCATATCTCACCTTCAACACCTGTCCTCACACAGTCCCTTTATAGAATTCGAGACCTGCGGCGGTCCTCAACGTCTCACTCTTCTCACCTTTGACGCCAACGGAGCCCCAGCTCCTTCTGTGAGCGTTGCTCCTTCCAGCTCCGTCGCCGTTCCAGTATTGAGCTCCGCCGTCGTCAGCAGCATCGCCAGCACGTCTGTCGTCTCAAGCAGCAAATCTCTCCCTACGATCAGCTCCAGCTCAGTCGTCGTCGTTTCCAGTGTGGCATCTTCTGCCAGCTCCGTCGTCGTTTCAAACGTTCCTTCCGTTAGCGTTATCGTTTCGTCGTCTGCTCTTGCTACATCTTCCGCTGTCCCTACCGCAGATCCTGCTACCTCTCATGTTCTCGTACCGGTTCCTCCCATTACGACTGCTTCGTCCGCCGTCGTCACTCCCTCCGCCGTCTCTTCCGCCGTCCCTTCTCCAGTTCATTCGGACGTATGTGGTGCTCCACCTCCTGCAGAATCGCCTGTCGTCTCCTCGGCTGCGGCCGCTCCTCCTGTCGCCACCGGTATTCCTGCCGGTTGGGCTTCTGCAGGTTGCGTCAGTGACAACGGTCACCGAACTCTGAACGCTCGTGCCATGACGAGCGACAGCCTTACCGTCGCTCAGTGCCTTAACTACTGCACCAAGGAAGGTTTCAGCATTGCTGGTATAGAGTACGGACGGGAGTGCTACTGTGGTAACAGCTTCAAGAACGATGGAGGCAAACCGCTCGATAACTCCGTCTGCAGGATGTCCTGCACGGGACAGAAGGACGCTCAGTGTGGTGGTGATTGGGCTTTGTCCGTCTTTAAGAAGACGAGCAATAGTTCGAGACGTGCCGTCAAGGCCAAGCACTTTGGTCGTCACCACCCTCACAATACTTTCTGAAGGATATCGTTTTCGTCCTCATGAGACCCAGCCCTCTCGACCCGCCTTTTCCCTCTCGTCGCTCTTTCATTTTTACGTTCTCCTGTCCCCGTCTCGTCTCTTCCTAAATGACTCCGGCAACGGTCCGCACGAGGCATCTTTCTCTGTCTTTTTCCATTCCTCCTCCTTCCGTTCCTTGCACAGTCTGGGGAGTCGACTAGGATAAGATGGATGTTGATGATGTTGAAACGATCATGATTCACCCACACGATCTTATTTTTTTTTACTGGATAAAAAACTGGCAACACACCGTCATCGACACATCCATCTCGACCGCTGCGTTCTCAATGCCCTAGCACTTTCCTAGCTCTCCTCATGCATCGTGCTTTACCCCAAGTCGCTCGGTCGATACCTTTTACTGTGTTCATGTCGAATAGCACCTGATTCTCGATGCTCGTGGTCTTCGAAGTCTCTTTCGGTTCTCATATGCTGTGTAGCTAGTTTCTACCCGGTTCTTTCACTCGTATCAAATGCAGTCGCAATCTGAGATCTGTTTTCCGGTTATATTTGGCTTCGCGTGCGAATACTTGTTCGAAATCACTTTTGACTTACTTGGGGTGAGTTTGGTATCACTAACCTACTTTTTAGAAGGCTTCGTCCCCCAACTGCTTAGAAGTGCCGCTGGTGATAAATTATCGGATATTTGCGAGGGAGACGCTTGTATAAACGTTGAATCCTTGACGAGTGTGACAGCGAGTTACGTTCCTTGTGCCAGTGTCATCTTGCAAAACGAATAACTTCTTACTATTATGCCACGGTATCCAAAGATTCATCCCCCCAGTAATGCCAGTCGTCGCAGCAACCAATCCATTGCTAGTATGGTTCGAAGTACCAGCGAAGGCAGAACGCAGAATGAGCCAAATCAGACCAGGACTACATCTGATGTACGCCGACAAATTATAAATGCACTGCTAATATCCTTGTATTTTTGGGGGCTAATGCGACAATGTGATACACAGGAGTCGATTAGATCGAACATTGGCTCGAGAAGAGCCACACATGCATCAGTTTTGACTGAGCTTCACGAGTCTGAGCAGGCTGCTGTTGGAAGTGAATGCTCTGACATAAAGCCCACCGCCGAAAATCCAACTTCTATATATGATGGGATGTCGAGAGAGGTGAGTCGAGAAAAATACCAATGCCAGTTGTCCTGGTCTTGCTGAACTAGAGCCAGGCCATAGAGGACTTGCGAGAGAAGGATGCAAAAGCTGCATCATCGAGAGGCTGGACAAACATATCCCAATTTCTTCAGGCCCACGATCATCGTGTCGTCCAAGATCAGAAGGAAGACATCGATACGCTGCTGGTCTTTGTATGTAATGCATTGATGGGGACCGCACCGTGGCAAAGCCGTTGATGACATATTAGGCAGGACTATTCTCCGCAGTTCTAACTGCGTTCAACATTGAGCTTTACAAAGGCTTGCAACCAGATCCACAAGCCGCTAGCGCATACTTCCTCTCCCAATTAGCCCTTCAGGTGAACAATTCTGCGACAAATGCTGCTCTTGCTGCGCAATTCCAACCGTCTGAAACCTCCTCAGCCTCCGTGCGCATCAACGCATTGATGTTCGTCAGCTTGCTTCTCTCGCTCATAACCGCTTCGGTCGGTATACTGGTGAAGCAATGGTTCAGGGCCTACTTGAGACTGGAATCTGGGGATGCCGTGGAACGTTGTCGCATACGGGATATGCGTCAAACAGGGCTACTCACATATCGAGTCTTCGAGATAGCAGCAACCCTGCCGCTGCTCATGCAAGCTGCGCTCTTCTTGTTCTTCTTAGGTCTTAGCGATTTCCTCCGGTCTTTAAATCCCGTCGTTGGCTGGCTCGCCACGGCGATAGTGATTATCTGGCTTGTGGCCATTTTGGCAACCACGCTCATGCCTGCTATAGACCCGAAATGTCCATACAAAACACCTTTTGTACAGGACATTCTGAGGCGACTTCATTCTTCGCTCAGCTTCTCGAAGCACTTTGTTCTAGGGCCGGCATCCGATCGTGGTCGAACAGACGACGCGATAGACATCCCTAGTCTTCTCAGGGTCGACCAGAAATTTGTGGATAATGGGCTTGTCGTGGCCATCGGAGAGTGCCTCTACACGAAGGCCTATACCGTTACTCTTAGTCAATTGCAATCATGCATAAGCGACATAGAGATTCGGCGACACCATTCAAACCCCTCGGACAAGACTACCCTTGTGCAAGCTTCAGTGCACGGAACTATTTCTGTTGCTTCTCACATCTTTCCAGAGTGGGCGCACGACATAACACGATCTTGGGAATACATTGTGAAGAATGCGACGCTTGATGTTAAATTATATGATATCCTTGATGTTATTTTCTCGAAATCGGTCGAGGACGACAGTGACCTGATTCCAAACGTTGCTCTCAAGCAGCTGTGTTCTGCGACACCGTTGGAACTTGCCATTCTGCGAAAGCAGAGCGCTCCCATAAGCAGACCGGATGGTACGGTTTATGTTTGCTTGTTTACAGCCAGCGTATACTGACCTAGAGGATCTCCTGGGACAGCACTTCAGACCATCATCACCTGTTGTCGAGCGAAGATCCAGCGACCGCCGCCTCGCCAAAACAATCTTGCAGCATACATAGCGATCTTCCTGTTCCTGGTCACGCATACGCGCCGTGCTGTAAAGAATGTGCTGCTCGAAGAAATTGGACAGGCAGTGCAAGACTTTGGCTCTGCCCTACGTCAATGGCGACTTCAGGGCAGCAACTTATTACCTGAGACAATGGCAGAGCAGTGCCTCACTTACCTGGAAGTGGTTGGCAGAGATTTTCCGAAGTTGGATCTGACGGAACTGTATGACGCTGTAACGATGCTCCCAGCTATCGGAAGGCATCCTACATTGGGCACGCGCAGCCCCAGTCCAATCTTGAGAGAAAGTCCGAGGCAGGATTCGCTCGACTGCGATAATGAAAGAAGAGTAAAGTTAGATTTACAAGGGTAGCGGAGTGCCAATTGCAGGTTCAGCAGGGCTGAAAAAGGTCAGCACGGGGACTCACCTCTGGTGACCTTTGCAGAGGCGGGTATATATAGGTTCAGTTTCAACCACTAGTTCCATTCTATAGGGATCTTTCTTACAGGCTGCTTTGAGTGCTTTGGACGGCAGACACTTGTACTCTCCTCGTTTACGTCTTTATAATTCTACATGACCCTGCCCCTCGGAGTCTGGCACAAGTAGAACTTGATTCGTGATCTCTCGAAAGAAGTGGACTCATCCGCCGCGAAGAGTCTTCCAGCCAAGAGAGCTCTGGGTTCAGGACGCCGCACAGTTATTGGAAGTTAAGGCAAATCTCAATAGTGTAGTCGAACTCGAGACCGAGATTGAAAATGAAGTTGATTTTGAGGATCATAAAGCTAATGCTTTAGCTCTCTCTGTCTCGCTCTGATTGCTGCGGCCTCCAAGGAGGTCACCTTGCCCGAACCACCTCCCCTTTCCCAGCCCTGTCAAGCCGATTCCTGATCCCTACACCTTACCTACATCCGTATCATCGTAGAGTTCATGATGTAGTTATACCCCGCATGCAGAAATATCCTGAGGGTTACGTCTCTGCCTTTGGGAGACTAGGCGCATCATGATTCTTTCGCAAGAGCCTAAAGACTGTGACAGTAAGCAAATCCTGGTATACTACTACAAACGCTGTATGCTACAACTAAAAGGCAACGTATATGGTCACATACTGTACGCCGCAAATGAAATGATGGAAGCGGGGTATCCACAGATGGGAAGTAAAGTTAGAAAATACATACAAGGGACAAGGAACGTAGAGGTATCAGAACAAGTTCGTGAAGAAACATGATAGCCAAACGAGGACTAGCAAACTGAGTGCCGGTGAATGCAGCAATGTGCCAGCTGTAACAGGCGCAGTGGTAGTGGCTGCATCTACTAGAGGTACCGCAGCTCCGATCGTTTGGTTCAGACAATCCAGCAAGGTACCGTCGACCCAGCTAGGTATCGGGACATCTGGGTCTGTCGAATTCTCTTGTAGTGCTGTCGTATCATTGTATCCCTCCAAGGTGAGAGCGACGCTGCTAGCACGGTAATACTGGACAACCTGTTCCGGACGTGGTGCAAATGGATCTGAAGAGTTCAACACTGATGGTGCCGTGGATGAGTTGGAAGCGATGGTGCAATTCGATGAGATTGCTGTGATGAGCGCTGCAACGGTAGTATTGTCAGAAAGAACATGGAAGGTGCTGTTCATTGAGTTGGAATTGATTTGTGCAACAGTCATTGGCCCTCCAGGTCGATCAGGATTGTCGGAGTTGCCGAACTGACGAAAAGAAAACGTCAGCTCGATAAAACAAAATAGAATAGAAGAATCTCATGATGCCCTACTTCATGGTTATACAAGTACGCGCCTCCATACCCAAGGCCTCCGCCCCAAACGACAGGCCAGAAGTAAAATGGGAAACCAAGGCCACCCACGCCTCTACCGACAGGCGAGTAAGTCGAAGGGTATCCACTACCGTACGTTCTGAAACACGTTTGTCTTAGCCTCAGTATCATCACGCCTGTCAATCAATAAAGAATACTTACCTTGATCCGTATACTTGGTCTCTCGAACCTCCTCCAACACTCCGCCCTGCAAACGCTTGACCAGAGGGTATCTTTGAAATGGCTCCACCTCCAGCACCATATGCTGAGACGGTGGAGCCCGATTTAGGTGACTTTCCCGAAACAGAAACTGGTGTTCTGGAGGCACCACTGCTACCTCCGCTAGAGCCCTTGGACCCTTTCGAACCGTTTGAGTTCGAACTCTTTCCACTAGAGCTTGATGAGCCTTTACCTGAGGAACCGCCAGACTTACCACCTCCGCCACCTCCGCCGCCTTTACCTCCACCACCTTTGCGTGGAAAGAGTCGTTGACCGAGCGGGCTGAGACCAGGGACGTACATATTTGAGGCGGGAGGTTTCGTGTAAGTTGAGAACACCGACTGTGCGATACTTAAATACAAACCCTTGACGGTGAGGCGATGTGGTGTGGGATTGGCGGATAAGTAAGATCCCGGTGTAAGATTCAATTCTTTAGACCGACACAGCCTCGGCGCTGAAAATGCACTTCGGTCACGAGTATGTCACGCCAAGAACGTGAATGTCCGTCACAGCAAATATTGTTTCTTTCAAGGGCGGCCTGTGATCTTGTCGCTGAACTACACAATCTACTTGAATCAGTTTCTATCCCGGTGATACAAAAAGCGACGAGTTGTCTTTATAAACGACCTCAGGAACGAGGAGAACTCATGATTTCGGAAGAACGCACGTTTGAGTTTATCATGCCGCATGGAATGAAACACCGCCTTGAACCTTCCTTCGATCGAAATGCGGACGACAATCGTGGCAAGGCCCGCCAAAAGCCTAACGGTTGCGAGTAAGGAATTTACACCGATCAATAGATTGGAGATGTCACCGCAAGGCAACAGCATTACTCAATGGCTGACTCAAATATTTGCAGGATTTGGAAGAATACACTGGCATCGTTGTAATGGTGAGGACAGTGGACTGCCTTCACGTATACGGTTTCGGCAACTTCTCGTTGATTGCTCCTTACGACCCGATTGAGTTCGGAGGAATTGCTTGCGGGCCGAATTGCCACCGTTGGTGACCTGTACCAGCTCTAGCTGGGTTCCAGATAGAGCACGTCACCCCGCAAAGTCAACTCAAGTACGCCCGGCTCCCAGGATCAAGAGTCGTGAAGATAGGATGTGATGCGAAATCATTTGTTTTCTCTGAAAATTGCTATGCAATGATGTGCAACAACGCAGAAAGGAGGCTCTTGACGTGTGGTATATTGAACATGCGGCACTGGTAAGCATTTATACCTTCAATAAGTTCACGAAGCTAATAAAACGAAAACAACCCACCTCAACAGTATTGCCTCCAACAGCGTTGTCGAGACGATTCATGTCTTGGCTCACGAAACTACATTCCAGCTTTAGACCCCACCTGAAAATGAATTTGCCACGTCTAATTTATATACCGGATTGTCATTGAATAGGCAGCAACGGAGACTATGTCTGATTGTCCGTGATGAGAAAATTATACCTATGACGGACCTCCCAGCGTCATGAGAACTCACCTCTGATAAATCAGGCCTTATGAGGCTGTCCATCGCTTGCTCAGTTCACGAGACTCTTCGGAGTTCCTCAAGGATCATGAGGGTTGTGTACAGCCTCACGTAGGAGAAAACTACGCCAATAGTCTGCGGTCCACCTACACGATTAGGAAAGGTAGCGAAACCCTACCATGAAAATTAACTACATAATGCAAACATTTGCATCACAGTCTCTCCCCGCAACAAAACACGCCCCTCGTCCTTCTGTCAGCTCACCCACAGGTCTCCGCCACGCTGGCTCGCCTGCTTCGCCTGCATCTGATTCTCGCCGTTCGCAGTCTTCCGAGCCCAGTACGGGGTCAAAAGACAGTGCGCAGAGCCACAGACGTGGTCTTCCGGAACATCATGGGCTTCCGGAACATCCTGGGCTTGCGCGAACATGCGCCATTAGAACACTGCATCACCTTTGGTCGAAGCGGTCGTCACGGTCACGAATCCCTGGCCATTTGTCCAATGAAATTGACGTCAATGTCTTCTTCCCATCTGCTCTTCGCATAACTGATTCCACCTAGCTTCTTCATCTGAAGGGAGAGGCTGGACAAGCGTCGAAGGGAGTGTAATCTCCACCCGATTATCAACTTTACGTGAGGTAAGCTTGGCCCCGTTCTTTGCCACAAAGTTCAGGACTTGAACGGAGGACGGAACCTTCGCCAATGCGAAGATGACACCAGCGGCAGCCAATGTTCCATGACCGCATATAACAACCTCTGTCACGGTTGTGAACCATCGAACACGATACGACCGCGAAAGATTCTCGGTGTCTTGCACGTCGGACGGCAGGATGAACGTTGTCATCGGCTGGTTGAAATTCTTGGAGATATTCAACAACGTTTCTGATGACAAGTCTGAATCCAGGAATACGATGGCTGCGGGGTTGCCACCGAATGGATCACTAGTGAAGGCATTGGCGAGGACAAAAGGCACAGCTTTAGGTGTTTCGACGACCATGATAGGAGAGGATTGATAACTCGTCTCGATCATCTGTACGAGTCTTTATTTAGACTCATACCAAGATACCGAGTCAATATATCTTCATGGGCTAATTAGATGTCGAGTCATTTGTATGCCGATGCTAACGCTGATATTACTCGCCAGAATTTCTTTATCACCTTCATCGCCCGTCAGACCACTTACACATGGTCATTTACTACTGTCAGAAGATATACATCGAGCTGTTTCCAGAGACTATATTCGGCTGAGTGATGTCCCTGTTGAATAGATTTCAGGAGTAAAATCAGGATAGCGTGTTGATGTTCGACGATTGAGCTTTACGAAGTAGTCGCGTGTATAAGTACAATCCAGTTGGTTCAGCAGGAGAAATAGGCTCCTGCAGGTGACCACGGCTTGTGGTGGAAATCTAACGTTAACGTTGAAAGCGGCTTGCCGGGAAAAGCCGGAGAATGCAAGTATTATTTCACTTGGGAAAAGCAAAGCTTTTCCTTGTCTCAAGGATATCGATGAAAATAACTCAGCTTTAGTAGTTACATCATGCTGAGCATTATGTATAGCGAAAGCAAGAGATGCATGCACGACGAGCAATGCGGAAAGCGGAACTCCATTTTGAGCATGGTGACGCCATACATGGCAAGCGCTTCGACGATACAACTTGAACCAGCCATTCTAGCATTCAATAGTCCTACCAGCTCCTTACAATCCAAGAACTCAATGTCGAGGCAATTGTCAAAGTATTGAAGTAAGAATGTTTGAAAGTGGAACCGAACACGAACGAGTGTAGACAATTGCCATTCAATACCGCAGAGGATAGAAAGAAGGACATGATAATATCTAAAGTAGTGTATCCCCGTTGTCAGACGACATGGATTCGAGTACACTGCGACGACGAGAAAGGAACACTGCTATATGCCCAGACTCATACCTCATCCCACCACGAACTGAGACGCACCAAGTCGCATAGTCACTGTATAGCATTGCAAGGAAAACGTAGATGAGGGTAAAAGGACATGACTATAGAACCACCATACAAAGCAGCCACATAAGGGTCGAGTACAGCCAACAGAAAGGTGTTTTATGCGGTCCTAAAGGAGACGAATATCAGCAGGCAAAGAAGATGCAACCTGCGGCAACGTACTTCTTGTGTGATGCCCTGATGGCCGCAACCTTCTCCTTCTTCTCGGCAACGCGCTTCTGGAGGAGGGTCCTGTAATTTAATGCAAGTATCAGCGTGAGTGGGAAAATAATTCGCAGGGCGAGAAAAAGGTACGCACTCGAACTCCACCTTCTGCTCCTTCTGGCGTTCGATCCGACGGCGCTTGAGCGAACGCAAGTGACGACGACGCTGCAAACGGACGGGAGTGACCAAGCGTTGAATTTTGGGACTAGAGAAAACGATGAGATCGCGCTTTGCACAAATCGGTTGACAACGTACGCCTTGGTGTAAGGCTTAGCATTCTCCTTCTTAGCGCTCTTCACCTCCCGACGAACGACGTATTTCCTGACATCGTCCTCCTTAGACAAGTTGAAGAACCTGCGGATCTTGGTAGCCCTCTTGGGACCGAGACGCTTGGGGAGGATAGTGTCGGTGAGACCGGGGATATCGTTCTCGCCCTGCTTAATGATGACGACAGAAAGCACAGCGATGTCGGGGCCGATGATGCAACCACGAACGGACTTGCGCTTGCGCTCACCAGTGCGGCGGGCACGGTAGCATGAGTGGCCGTCGGAGAGAAGCAGGCGGACACGGTGGGGGACGAGGACACCTTGCTTCATGGGGAAACCCTGCTTGTCGTTACCGCCGGTAATGCGGAAGATGTAGCCCTTGAACTCATCACCAAGAGAGTCGGCCGGGACCTCTTGTGCGATCTTCTTGTCGTAGAAGATACGGCTACATTCCTGGTGAGTGAATGAAACTTCACGTGCAATCATAGTTTCGTACTATTTCTTCTCATCATCGTAGTCGATGGTCTTTTGTTCCCCAGTAGCGGGGTCTACATAAACGTTGTCAGAGCCGTCGAGGGGGTCATTGCTAGAAGGCAAACTCACTGGCAATGTTGATCTTCATGCTGATCGGGGGGGAAAAAACAGAGAAAATGTCAGAAGTGGGGCAACAGCACGTCCAAGCAGTATTTCAGTACCTTCAGAACGTGGTGCTAGGCCTTGTCGTCAGCGGCGGTAACGACGTCGAGGCAAGTCTTGAGCTTGAGGTCGATAGTGCTGAGACCGAGGCGCTAAACCGTTACACCAAACGCCGGGAACGGAAATTAGAGTTTGATACTGTACAGTTCTTTCAGCCACCGGACCCTGCGGCACGTGCCGAGTTCTCCGTTTTCACCGCACGACGAGCTCAACGGCCGACACGACGACAACAACCCTTCAAGACCTCCTCCTTCAAAAAATTTGTGGGTAGACTATGCTCGGACGATGTGTGACGATACACTGACAGAGATTTCGCCATTAGAGTCACCATGGGTCGCATGCACGCTCCCGGAAAGGGCATTTGTATGTCGGGATCAACTTCAGACACCAGACCAGTACTGAACGTTTGGATTAGCGTCCTCCGCCCTTCCTTACCGCCGCTCTCCTCCTTCGTGGCTCAAGACCACCCCCGAGGATGTCGTTGAGCACATCAACAAGTTGGCTCGCAAGGGTCTTACTCCATCCCAAATCGGTGTTACCTTGCGTGACTCGCATGGTATTCCCCAAGTGCGCTTCGTCACTGGTAACAAGATCCTCCGTATCTTGAAGACCAACGGTGCGCAAGGACGGCTTGATCGAATGCTGGCTACATGGCTGACACTCCATTTCTTTATATAGGTCTCGCTCCTCAGATCCCTGAGGATCTCTGGCACCTCGTGAAAAAGGCCGTTGCTGTCCGCAAGCACTTGGAGACGAACCGCAAAGACAAGGACTCCAAGTTCCGTCTGATTTTGATCGAATCCCGTATTCACCGTCTCGCCCGTTACTACAAGACCAAACAGCAGATTCCGCCGACGTTCAAATACGATTCGGCAACTGCTTCCACTCTCATTGCATGAGCGAGGGGTCGCTTTCGATAGTGGTCAGAGGTGGTTTTGGCTGCTGAGGGCAAGGTCGTGCGTATACGTGCGAGTAGTGGTGTCGAGCGTTGTTTTATGTTATCTGCATTTCTCTCTTTCTTTCCATGACACAATGCAAAATATAGCTATGCACCATCTGTTCTCTCACAGTGCTTACCGTGCATAGGTTGGGAGGAGGGTCGGGCTCTTTATCATCAATACGCTCCTGCGTCATCGACTCTGCTTCCTTCGTCGCCTGATACTGATTCGGACCAATCTGAAACTGAAACTTGTACTGAACCTCTAATCTGTTGTGGGGTTGCTCACACTTCTGGATTTTTTTCTACAATGGCCTTCTCTCAAAGTGCGTATAGAACTTCAGGTGGGAACAAAATACGCTCGACGGTTGTTGAGTTCATGATCAACAAATTCACATCCTTACGTCTAATGTCTGGATATACCAAGATTTTAGAGCTGCATCTTCCCATTCTGCAAAACGCTTTAGATGCGTTTGCTCAACTTTACGGCGGGGTGTTCCCCCGTGTTCGCGACTTTGCCTGCTTCCCAGAAGTTCAAGCTACGTTGCTTCCTATTGATGAAAGCGAGATACGTTAGTGCCATTGCCTCCAGCTCCTCGATCGTTGGAAAGGGCAGGTCGAATGTCAGCTGGAGACCTTTGCTTGCGAACAGGTCTTGGACATACCCGACAATGTGGTAGTGGGGGACCTTGCCATCGGAAACCTCCTTGTAGCCGATGTGACGAAGTCACCGTGGGCTCGTATCCAGCAACCATCGTTCATGAATGTCCAGTGCTAGGGCAGCCTGTGTTCGAGCAGTTACAGTTTACCATGATCTCTGATGTCTAAGGATCCATATCACGCCGCACCCCATGAAGTTCTGCATCGTTTTCCATGGATCATACTTCATACACTGCATAAGTAGTCGTTTCCTCAACACTGACGAAGCCGGTGTGGTCCGACAGATCATGCAGTCGAAAACAACACATAGAGAATGGCCAAAGAATATCTACATTCGTTCTAAGGGTCGAATGGTCAACAGCCTCATAGCCGCAGCAAGAACATCCCTCGCCCTCAAGAACATGAACATCCTTGCCCTGGCCTTCTCCAAATCAGGCTCGCCCTTCACCAACACGTACTCCCAAGCACTCGAAATAGCGTGTGTGAGTTTGAAAGCAAAGTGTACGATCGTACTTGGCTCGGATTTCTCCATCGAATTCCTGACGACACCAGGATATGTTGCGAGGTGGAAGATGATCTCACGAGCGGCGGGTTCGGTGAGAAGGTCAGTGTTGATTTCTTCGGGGGAGGGGAGAGGGAGGAGTTCGGGGTTCTTTCGTTCGATAGAAGAGAGTCGGGCATGTTGGTATTGAAGGTATGGCCCTGTATCACCCTCGAACGAGAGCATTCGTTGCCAGTTGAACGCGTAGTTGTTGATTCTATATCAAGACGTGAGTACCTGATTTGATCTGGAGAGTCAGGATAGGTCGACATACCGTTTCGCTGACATATCTTGGATCTTAATGCCAGAGATGCCAACCTCCTGAGCGACGTACTGTGGATCCTCGATTTGAGCCAACTTCTCAGCGTTCTCGCTCATCTTCTCATAAATGACAGACGTAGCCTCCTTGATAATCTCGTTCAAGAATACGACTGTACCCTTTCGAGTACTCATACCCGTGACTAAACCATAATTGATGTGTTCAAGTTTGTCGGCCCATGGGAACTCCATGAGTTTGAGGATCTTGAAGAACTGCGCGAGGTGGAGATCTTGTTGCGCCGAGACAACATAGACCATTTTGTCGAACTTGTACTTTTCGTATCGTTCGATAGCTCCGCCAATATCTCGAGTAAGATAGATCGAGGTTCCGTCTGCAAATCGTCAGAAGAGATGAATTACGACAGCCAGAAGGTCGTACTGACCTTTCTTCCTGAGTACAGCTTTGCCCATATTCCACTGCTCGAGATTGACCAACTTCATGCCGTCATGGTCCTCAATGAGATTCATCTCATTCAATCGGTCGATGGCCTTGTCCTGCCATTCCTTTCCAACCAAGCTCTCACCAAGATACTCGTCGAAGTGAACGTTCAGCCTATCGTATTCTTCTGCGTACTTCTTGATCGACAGTTCTCGCCACACTCGCCAATTTGACAGTGCAGATTCGTCGCCGTCTTCCATTCGCTTAAAGAACTTCGCCGCTTCGACTTTGACGTTCGGGTCGGTTTCGGCGTCCTTGTTGATCTTAACATAGACGTCGAAAAGATGTTTGATCGCGTCCTTTTCGAGTTCTTCTTTTGAACCATACTTCTCGAAACCGACGGCGATCAATCCGAACTATTAGAATCATTCCGTCAACCTCGACGCATGAATAAAAGGATTATGAGAGACAAACCTGAGTGCCCCAGTCACCGAGATAGTTAATGGAAACGACCTCCCAACCGCAAGCTTTGTAGAGATTCACCAAGAAGGCACCTATGATAGTACTTCGCAAGTGGCCGACATGAAAGGATTTTGCGATATTCGGTGCGGAGTATTCGATGACGACCTTTTTGCCTTTGCCAGACGTGTTGATACCGTACTCAGGCTCTTTGGAGGCGGTATTATAAGTAAGGTCATGAATTTGGTTGAGGACGAGGCGGTTGAGAGTATTGGTTCGGACTTGGAAGTGAAGGAAGATTCCTTCAGATACTGCACTTTCGATCCATTCGTTTGGTTGGAACTGAGTGAAGGGTGATCAGTACAATAAGACCAGGAAGATAACAGATTGGTCAGTTTTGGAACACCCAAATGGCATGGCAAAGAAACTGAGTGACGTTTGGTGGTGCCGAGAGTCAGATTTAGCCTGGGACGTAGACAGCATCGAGTAGAATATCAAGGTCCTTGTTTAAGATGATAGGTTCGCCTTTTGGCAAAGCACATTCGAAACATAATCATGGACCCTCCCAAGAAACATTAACATCTATTTTATGGATTGACTCCCTCCACGGGTAGAGGATGGAGTTATGAGTCTGGTCTGGATTGAAATATGAAGCGCTCGAAAGCCACAAAATGGTACACAAGAATAGAGAACGATCGGAGACTCACCTTTTCAAGTACTTGCTTCGCAAATGCGTCAGGCTTTCCCTTCAACTTAAATCGAGGCAAAGCAACAGTAAAGTCATTCCCTTTCTTTCCAAAGTCAACACCAGCGTAGACTTGCTCGACTGTCAAAGAGGGAATGCCATCCACAATGACTTGTGCGATGGCGATCCTGAAGAGATCGAGGACACCTCGTTCCGGTTCTGTTCCAGCAACATGTGGAACTTGAGGAAGCTTCGAAAGTAAAGTTGTAAGCGAGGGTGAGAACTTTGCTGTTTCTTCCGACATGATAGTGTTAGGTTTCAAGGTCGAGATCGAGTAGAACTTTTGAAAGCGGTAAGAAAGTGCGAATTTGGGTGAGAAACGAAGAGGATAATGTACACGGCGGAGGAGAGAAGGGACGGTTGGTCGGAAAAGAGACGAAGCCACTTTGGAGGTGAATTTTCTGGTGCACTTTCGCCTCTATCGATTGCGGATTTTTTGACCACTGTACCGATCGCGTTCGAGTCAGGGAAAGAGCTCTTAGCTCGATTTGGAAGGTATCGTAGTTCGAGACCTGAACTTCACTCACGAGGTATCGACTTGCTCTTTGATACACAAGGTACTGAATGAACGGGTGAGAGACAACACCTGTAGTAGTGAATAGTAGAACACAGTTGTAAGATGATTTGTCAAGTCATTCCAACTGCTTTGGTCAAGCGGTATATTTTTGCTAAACTACGGGCCATCCGAATCGTCGTTTAACGGGTTTATCTAGGGCATTACAGAGTCAAAGAAACATCCAGTGAAAAAGTCTATGGTATGTACGGGCACAAGGTCAAGAACAGAACAAAAGTCACGATGGGTATGAAAAAGAAGAGAAGAGATATCCAGACCCATAACAAGAAGAGAGCAATTCACAGAGCGGAACAAAGATGTAATCTACGAGAACAACATAAGGCATCAACCATCTTCACCACTCGATGATGGCAGGGAAGAACTTCTCGATCAGCCCGTGGTAGTAGGGCTTGAGCACCTCGGGATCGACAGGGTCATCGCTCTTGCTGTATAAATCGTACGGATTGAACGCTCGGACAGCCTGAAGAGCACGCTGATCATTGGCGTTCGTCAAGTGTTGATACGCGCCTTCTCGGTGCCAGCTGGAACGCAGGTTGTATCAAAGACTCTGCGTCAGAAAAACAAACGACACTTACGGGTAGAAACTGTGGTAACGGATCATGTGCAAAGCATCCTCGGGAAGGGTGCTTTGGTTCTTGAGGACGTGGTACAAATACTACATAGATGGTTATGGATCCCAGCCGGCAGGTAATACAATGAGTAACGTACCTCGTCATGTCCCCAAGAGAGCATGACGTTGTCTAAGCCACAGTGAGCCTGGTAAACACCGTACTCGGTAGAGTACACGGGGTCACGAATGTCAGGGTTGCCTTCAAACGTCTCTGGGTAGATGATTTTGTCGGAGAACTTGCACCCTACGACGAACGTGTCCTATACGGAGTGTCGGATGTGAGGGCATGAAACAGATATTTATGCAGATTGACTCACTCCAACCACGTCCCACTGGCCTCTAGAAAGCTGCGATCAGTTATTACTTGTGGGAGACAAACGATGAAGCATACTCGGAGCCGAAGAGGTATAAGAGCTTTCCAAGGTCGTGTACGAGACCAGCGACTTGCATCCACTCGGGTTTGCCGTCGCGACGGATGGCTTCGGCAGTCTGGAGTAAATGCTCGATTTGTGAGACACTTGTCTGGGATCATCATCAATCTTATGACCACCGATGGGATGGATGTTGCCTTACATCAGGGTCAGAGTCATCTACAAGGGTGTCCAGCATTTCGACGGCTTCCCAGATACCTGCAGATGCGAGCGTAAATACGATGAGAAATTGAGAGTGAAGAAAATAATGATACCCATTCGAGCACGGACAGTCTTCTTGAAGTTAGCGCGAATCTTCAAGTTGAACTCCATGGTTTGCTTCTCTACACATTTTTGGTGACATCAATGTTTGCTCACGACTGCAATCGGGTAGACAATCGCGTAGCTCACCATGTTGTTCTTTGTAGAAATTCTTGACGCGGTCACAAGCAGCTTCGTATTGGCGGAACTGTTGCTTGTCCTTCTGACTGTCGAACTCAGAAGCTTCGTCCCAAGCACGACCCGCCGAGCCCTTAATTTTGTTGACTAATCGTAGCATTGTTAAATGGCACTATCCAAGTCATTGGGCCACTAGGAAACCTACCTTCATCGACCGCATCGGAGACGATTTCGAGGGCACGAGCATCCACAATACGCATGGTGACGGAGAAAGGTTGAAAGAGCGAATGAGAGCGCTGTGGTTTCCGAGGACGGATGTGGTTGCGATGCACTTCAATTTGTGCTCCGAGTCAATACGAAAAATAAAATCCTTTCAGTCCAGATAAGTCGAGATTGGCGCCAACGTATAAGGAGACGAATAGCAGGACGCACGGACGCGAAAAACGCCCTATGAACGCTTTGAGCCTTCGTCTTTTATCCATTTCAGACGGTGGAGCCAGGCGAAGATTGAAATGTGTTGCTCCGCATTGGAAGACCACAAGACATCCCCAAAACAGTGGAATCATGCGCCGGTCCGAAGGTCCGAAATACTTTTTTGCGTGAGGGAGGTTCACCAAACGCCGGCCTATCCTGAACTCCTACCACCATCTGGACTCTCAGACCGTCCCTGAAGTCACGGTAGGAATCATGTTTCTCACTGATATTATTAATTCCTCTGTGTATGGAATCTAGGAAGACCGAGCCTCGCGTTCTCTGTGAACAAATGACACCGCATTCGGGTCGAGATTGAGAACTCGACTTGAACCTGATCTTGCTCTCTGCAACTTGGCCATGTCAGCTGGCATGTTACGTGTTCTCGGGAGTCCGTCTTCATCATTACCCCACATTCACATATTTGTTCTAGACTCCAGAGTAGTCGAGGATGCCGAGGTTGGACCACCCTGTTGACCATCTGTCCTCTTTCCCGTGCGAGTAATCGCCATGGACTTCCGGACCGAGCAGAACTCTTTTTTAGATTATAGGGAATGCCCTACACACTGTTTTTATCCGCTCAAGCACCTTCAGCTCAGGCCGGGTTAGTCGTTATCTCCTTGCGGCTTCTGGAACCCGAGCCATGGACGACGATCTTTCTTGGAGCTCTTTCATGGACACCCAAGGCATCCAGAGATGGGTTCGGAAGTTACACGGTTTATCTAGCATGACTTGTCTACCTGCTGCGTAGTTCGGGCTCCGCCGACTGTATTCTCACCCATGACTGCACGTTTTGCATCGCTGCAGTTCTGGTCGATATTACCGGCTGAATGCTGATTCTACATATGCTCCAGCTAAGTCTCCACCCGGACTCCATCTAGCGAGCATCGACGGGAGCAGAATTCATAGTACTTTTGGACTTTCGTGTTACTTACGGCTGCTCGACACCTCAAAATCCTCAAGTAGATTTATCCGCTTTCAAGAGTGTCTACTATGTTTCTCAGACTCATTTCGATACTCTGTCTGAATATTTCTTGCTGTAATCTCGCTCTTGCTTTCTGCAGTGGTCATAGGCGAATAGTAATATCGGGCGTCATTCTGTCCAGCCTGTCAATCCGTAGCATACTTGACATGATGCCTATGCAAATGCTGTCCTATTGAAGGCGAAGCAGTGTCACTGTGGTACCTGATAACGGCCGTATAAACGGCCGGTATTTGCGCAGAATGACAAACATGTTACCCCTCTTTTGCCAACATTCACCACATTAACGAGAAGGCCAACACTATAGCGCTCATGTCTGGGGTAAGTGACGATTCACAGTGGCATCGAGAATTGTCAACACGGCTGATTTGGTTCTCAGGAACCGCAGACCACCCGTGGTGTCAGCAGTGACAATATCTCTTTCAAGACGGACTTTACGCTAGAACCGCTGAAGGGATTAGGATCAAACACAACTGAAAATCATGCTCTGCATCCGGGTCAGCCTCACAACGATTCGGGATCATCATCCAGCGGTTGGTCCAAACTCGCAGGCATGCTTAGTACTTACGATGAAAGGACCATACGAAACTGCAAAGAAGATATTGACACCCTGTTAGTCTTTGTATGTCACATCCGAATCTCTCTACCTATTTCCTTCAGGTTTTGAATGCCTTCTATAGGCTGGACTTTTCTCTGCAGTGTTGACAGCGTTTAACATCGAATCCTATAAACAACTACAGATCGATCCAGCAGAAATCTCTGTTCTTCTCCTTACCCAGATCGCCATGCAGCTCAATACATCAGCGATCAATCCCGCCTTGCTTTCACAGTCCCAGCCGACGGCTATCTCACGAGTTTCCATACGCATCAACACCTTGTGGTTCTCAAGTCTGGTGTTTAGTTTGGTGACAGCCTCGTTGGGCATGCTTGTAAAGCAGTGGTTACGAGAGTACTTGGCTCTCGAAGCCACTTCCGCTCAAGAACGTTGTCGTATTCGCCACTATCGGCATAAAGGACTAGTGCGATGGCGTGTCCTCGAGATAGCTGCACTCTTGCCGTTACTCCTCCAAACCGCATTGATCCTCTTCTTCATCGGCCTGAGCGACTTCCTTCGTGATCTTAACCCTATCGTTGGGTGGGTCGTGACTGGCCTGGTCGCATCGTGGCTGGTGGTCTGGGTATCGACAATGGTCGCTCCTGTCTTCTACGCCCAATGTCCTTATAAGACACACCTCTTCAAAGGTGCTGTCAAATTTCTTCGACGTACTTTCTGGTCTCTGGATGGGTATGAGGAAGAGTTATCTGTGCGCAGAAGCCCTGATGCAGACGCTGCCATTCTATCTGAAGTTGACGTGACCTTCATGGATGACGAGCTGGTTGGAGTCATAGGACACTGTATTGCCGGCTTTCCTAACACTGCGCTTCAGGACGTAGTTAACTGCGTATCGAAGGTCACGATGAATAGGACTCACGTGCCGCGGAGTTTGGCTGTGCTTTTGGAGGCAACAGTCGCTGCACTGCACCGCGAGCTTGATGCATACGGTGCCAATGGTTTGCGACTTTCCAGCGCGGTGGAGAGAGCTTGGACGTACATCATCGATCGGCTGGACTCAGCCCCAGCTGTGAATCTTTCGAACCTTCTCACTCGGCTATTGGATCAAAACGAACGTGTTGTTCGCTTCCATCTTGCTGCGATTTGTACGAGATGGCGAGGGACGCTATATAGTGCTTTCCGTCGTCAAACGAGTCCTCTGAAGGATTCCATGGGTATGTCTTAGCACTCCTGTACTACGCTCGTTCGCTTATCGGTGGTGTGCAGCCCTGCTGAACGTCATGACCTTCGTTCGGAACTACATTCGAAGTGACTGGGCTAGTCGTTCTTGCCTCTTATTCCTCTTCTTTGTTGTGCATTCAGAGGATCATGTCAGGGAAGGGTTGCTCGTCGACATCGGGAAACTCTTGCGTGAATATGGACGGCAAATGCATTCCATGTTACACAAAGAGGAGTACTATCTCCACAAGACGACTGCGGAGCAATGCTTAGCCCTTATAGCTGAGCTTCGAGAGAAGCATCCTGGTCTGAAATGTTCCCAACTTGTCTCTGTGCTCGAACATGCGAATGTTAGTGGTGGCGACCCCCGAGATCGCGTTCGGTACGTTGACGGGGAGCAGGTCAACTTGATGTAAACCCTACATAACCCGCTGAATGTCAATGCGAAACCTTGAATCGAATAACTTTCGAACGCGTCTTGCTTTCGTCTAGAAGTGGCCCTTGTTTCTGGGGGATAGGTATCGTAACTTCTATGCTTGCTTTCTGAGTACAACGATTTCGTGATTCAATTCATGTGTTCGGAAGGGCTTTGCTGCACATAGACACTGAAGTTCTCATCACCAGAGGTCCGTATCTATTTCCATCCGGCCCGCCTTAAGCTCATATTCTGACATCATATCTTCAGGAAGATATGAGCAAAAGAACCCTTCCGTGGTTTTCTTCTCAGATCCAGATGAAATTGGAGAAACGTGGACCCCAGCCAGATTGATACCCAAGGGACGACAAGAGTTTTCCTTGAGCATGATACAAAGTATGAAAGGATCAAGGACGTAATACGATGTCTTACCAAGGACACGGTTTAGTGGCTAATCAACATAATAGCATACATGTATAAGTGGTATGTTCAATGGCTCATTTACCTTGATCGTATGAAGGACTTACATCGCGAGGCGTACGCTCATTTGATTATCTTTACTTTCCAGCATGTTATGTTTGATATTCCCTTCTCAGAATTGATAACAGACTCAAAGAATTGGCAATTTTTGAACGACAAGATAATCTTCAAAGACAAATTATAACTGGATCACATACACTTCGAGGGTCTAAATGACCCGTTGCGCACAGCTATCTAGGTATTACGGCCACATGTTCATGGCCTTTTTCAATAATACTCTCAAAGTCCACCAAGCAGTATTCTGAGGCGCGCGAGCCACAGCGTCCCATCCACAATCGTCGTGATAACGACTTCTGCTCCATGCTGCAGCTTTCTGTGCCCATTCTCTAGCATTTTCGGCATCTCCTAGGGCACAATACACTGCACAGATTCGCTGGTACTGAAGCCAAAGAGAGTAACCCAGGAGTCTCTCGTCTCCCATCATCTTGAATAGAGCCTTGCATCGTTTGATTACAGCGTCGTCTGGAGCCGAGAGATCGTGTAACCACTTGTGAACAACTGTATCACTATACGTTTTGGCGAAATCGATAGCATCTTGACGAGTTGACTTCTCAAGAATTGCACGACGGGTATCGCTTCGCCGGGAATCTGCGTCGGGCAGTCCACAAGAATAACATTTACAGTGGAATTTATAACGTCTCAAGAGGAACTCTCGACGGGTATCGCGAGGTGCGTATTGATCGCCATAGCAGACATAGATCTGTTCTCCCTTTGCAATGGGCCAAATGGCGTGCAGACTCTCAGAAAAAGATGCGATGTCCCAGCTAAACAGAGCATTAGGAGAACAACTGTAGGAATGTTACCAAATATTCGTCAAAAGGCAGGCCAGAAAGAAACTATGACACAACTCACCTATGATTGGCCCGAGAGATTTCCTTGCAGACCGCAGCACATGGGCCCTTGAATCCGGGCAAAGTAGCATGCACTGCGTTGGTGTTGATGATTCCTATGACAGGATCCAAATCCGGGCCTTTGCAATTATGCAACGCAAAGAAAGCTTCCCTATTCTCGTCAGTAAGTCGTTCGACAAGCACGAGTCTGGGCGCAACTACTGGCGCAATTGGCGTAAGGATGACAAGAGGTCTTTCACGAATGATTAGATCGCCAACAGCGATGTCTTCTGTGGCAAACATTCCGTATCCGATCCCTGGAATAGGCCTGACTTCGTGTTTCTTTGGGGGAGGTTCGAACGATGTGGGAAACCCGGGGAACGCGAGTAGTGCTTCTTCCATGTCACCCATTAGGATAGCTTCAGTGACTGGCCACTCGTCGGGGTGGTCCGGGTCATACGGGGGAAGGGTAGTAAAAGTAAACGTCTCCTTCATTTCTTCCAGCTTTTCAGGTGTTTCGTCTATGGAGGGCCAGTATTCGGCTTCTAAATTTCGCGGCGGTCCATTGGGAATCTCAACAAAGGCAGTGGCGCCTCCACTGAATAGGTGCGAAAAGTCGGCATAGATACCAGGCGAGATAGGACGAGACTGAGATGGAGTGGTCATTATACGCAAGAGATGATTCAATAAGAGAGATAGTTGGTGGTAAAGTGGCCATGAAGTCTGCCTTTATACTAGTCTGCAACGTGTCGTAGGGACCACAGTCAGAGACAAAGGAATCCATTTTTAGTCAGTGGCGATTCATCTGATGAAAATTGACCAGCAGGGAGCCCGGAGGATGAACGACAAAGTACGTTTGGCTTAAGACAGGTAACGGTAGTCTTGTTGCAAACGCATAAAGAAAACAAGTATGCTACGGATTCGTGTACACTATGATCTACGTAAGGTTCACACTCCGACCGCTAATCTCCATGAGTCGCCAAAGCGCCCAATTTACAACATCATCCACACTGGTTACCGCGTGTAAATCAAACGCCATGTTCACAATGGACAAAGGGGAAAAGATATTAGCGGGGCATGTAGTTAACTCTTCCGCTGGACACAATGGAGGTTACTGTACGTACTCGTGACGCAAGAGAAGGTAATAAAAGTCATTGCCTTTTTTAGGGAGAGGTCAACGGATGAGGAAATACCATCGATGATTCTTACGTCAGATTCATCTTTATTCTTAACCACCATTTTCTTCGTTAACACAATGACCAGTATCGCGTAATGCCTCCAAAATCCATTCTAGTCCTAGGCGGTGGCCTTTCCGGACTTTCTTCTGCATTTCATCTTTCCCGACGGTTTCCTACCGTTCCCATTACCCTCCTAGAACACTCGAATCGTTTGGGTGGATGGGTTCGTAGCGAACGTGTCAAAGTGAGGGATAACCAGGGTCATGAGGCGAGTATACTGCTTGAGGGCGGGCCGAGGACGTTGAGACCTAATGGAAAGTCGGTGGTTGAGTTGGTACGTCATCTCTTTATTTCCCTCAATAGGTACATAGACATTCTGACATTTCAAAGCCTAGGTGAACCTCCTTGGTCTTCATGAATCTGTTATAACTGTACCTAAGAGCGCACCCGCCGCGAAGAACCGGTTTTTACATATCCCTGGTATGCGTAGATATTTTTTTTCGGTCCACTTAATGTTGTCTTGACATATGCACCAGGAACGAATGGCCTCACGCCTCTCCCAAACTCTTTACTATCTGTATTTACATCGCCCATTCGAACCGTGTTGCTAGGGGGAGTTCTCGGCGAACCATTCCGTGCTCGCACCAATTGGAGACCGGCTTTCAACCACTATAACGACATGTCTTTCGACGACTTCCTCACCTATCATTTCGGTGCCGACTTCGCACGCCTTATGGGTAGTGCTCTTGCACATGGAATTTATGCTGCTGATAGCCGACTCGTTAGTGTCCGGGCAGCGTTTCCTTCGCTCTGGGATATGGCAGGAGAAAACGGAACGGAGAGTATAGTACTCAACACTTTCAAGCGCGCTTGTGGGTTTGGGAAGTCGGATTTGAAGGCGGTCGCAGAAAGTTCAGCACAATCATACGATCTAGGCAATGTCGAAGCAGGGTTGAAAGATGCGAGCGTGTTTTCCTTCAGGGATGGCGCTGAAGCACTAGTTCAAGCTCTTGAAAGAGAACTCGAGCGAAGACAAAATGTGACAATACTCAAGTCTCATGGTATCGCCGCAATATCCAAGGATACACGTTCCGGAGACTTCGTGGTGTGTGATGACTTTCGGTCATTGATCCTAATGGGCTCTCTGATGACAGGTCCATCCAGGTATCTGACGCATCCGACGTGAGACACCTATGTTCACATGTCGTATCCTCAATCTCCCTCCCTTCATTGCATTCAGTCCTAGAATTCTCTCGCTCGCGTGAACTCAACTCCTTGGGTATAGATCATATTAATCCGCCCCAGCTGCCCCACTTGGTGTCTAACCCGTCCTCATCTGTGACCGTGATTAACCTCATATTTCCTCCCACTCCTGGTGGGGCAATACACCCAGATGGATTTGGATACCTCGTACCCCGCAAGGAGAATGATACTGAAATCGGCAAGGTCAATTATGATTCCTTGGAGGACAGACTACTCGGCGTAGTATTCGACTCTTGTGCTTTATCAGCTCAAGACGTCTATCCTCCCGGAACAAACTCGAACAGGACGTTCACAAAGTTGACGCTAATGCTCAAGGGAGCTTCTGAAGCCAACATGCCTTCTGAAGGCGATCTGCTAGCCCTTCTCTCAAAACATCTAGTTCCTCGTGCGCCGATACCACCACCCGTGTTTATGCGCGTCCATTTATCTAAGGACTGTATATCTACCCCAAGCGTTGGACACCTGGAAAGGATGGCTGAACTCCGGAAGGCACTGGGTGGAACTGAGAAGGATAGTTTCTGGGGAGGAAGATTCGAGGTACTTGGTGCTGGTGTGGGAGGTGTCAGTGTACCAGACTGTATCGAACAAGGAAGACGACTGGCTTTACGTTGGTCGAGATGATATACATAAATGCACATCATTTACGCTCAGCAGAGAAACGTTCACTATGGTGAAGGCAAAGGCTGTCCCCCACCCCCGAATCCTGCTTGATGTCAATCGTGCTCAAGGCTCTACTTCCCTGTCCCAGCAACACCCTGGGTAAATGCGGATTGGAAAATCGCCACGAAGTAAAAGGTAGATACCTGTTTTCAAATTCGGACAATGTGTAGCCCATGAAGACATCCAAAGAGCAAGAGAACATATAACAATCTTGAATCGTCCAACAAGCCAAATAACTATTCATCGCACGACTGAGATAATCCTCCCCTCCTCCAGGACATATACTTCGTATATCGGCTCGAGGTAAGGATAACGTACACGACACTTACCCAATGGACTTTCGTCCGGCTGCTCTGCAAATGTTGGCTGCGACAAATCTCTTCTTGCGCAATGCACCAATGGCGCTCAGAAGCGCAAGCAGAATCCACCAGCCCCATCTGCGTTTTAACGCAGTGACTGGTCGGGTACCTGGACGAAGTGGGAGTGTATCATTAAGATTCTTCTTTAGATCAGCCAATTTCTTATCCTATACACGAAGCGAACGTTACTTGGAAGATAACATCTGGCAGCGAGGCTCGGAAGAGAGGGGCTTACCGTATATGGTGGAAAACGAGAGCCGAGAACAACCTTGTCCAACCAGCTGGGAACGTCGAGAGTACCTCTGAAGTGTGTAAAGGTGTTGAAACCCCACTTTCCGGTAGTATATCCAACTGGAATAGTAGTTGTATGTGAGTCAACGCTAAGATCTAGGAGCTAGACTTTCGTACATCCACTGGCTCCGATGCCGCCAAATGGCAAACCGGCAGCTGAAGATGTGCCAGTATGAATGACAGGAAGTAGCATAGGCAGAATTGAAGCGACATACCAGCAGGCAGGATCACAACGTCGTTCGCAACCGCGCCTCCACTGTTAGTACTCGAAAAGACTGAACAAGAAGATGGTGAATCGTTGTCAGAAGTTCGTTGTATGAAGCATAACGTACCTTTCTCTTTGACCTTCTTGTCCTCCGAGAAGATATAGAGAACAAGTGGGTGATCTCTAAAGGAAACATCGGCAGAATCACGCTTTTCGGCGCCATAACAGGTCATAACCAGAGACTTACCTGGAGTTGATGAACCCGATCGCCTGATTGAGAGAATCAACCGAAATAATGGGCAATACAGGTCCGAATATCTCGCTGAAAGGGCAATATCAACCAATACAATCCACGAAGTACTGCATTCGAATGTACTACGTACTCGGTCATAAGCGAATCGTCGCCAGGAACATCTGTCACAATAGTAGGCGCAACATATCGCTCATTAACGTCGATCTGTCCTCCAATGAGAATATTGCCCTTGGTGCTTTCCACCAGATTCTTGATACGCAAAGTATGCTGCGGAGAGACGATGCGTGAAATGGAATCGGATTTGGCTGGATCGGAGCCAAAGAACGCAGTGTACCTGGTAAAGATAATCAGGTCAGGATTCGATTAACGAGACAGTATTGGGAGGAAGACAAACACTTGTTGCAGTTCTCTAATGAACTGCTCTTCAACTTCACGGAGAACCAAGACATAGTCCGGTGCGACGCAAAGCTATACAAATTCAGAATCACTCAATTCAACCTGACAAAGAGACAATACTAGACGTGACTTACTTGACCGGCATTTGCACATTTCCCCCACAAGATTCTTCGAGCAGCCAACTTCAGGTCGGCCGATGTGTCGACGATAACTGGACTTTTACCTACAGGTCTGCTATAGCGCCATGGACATATAGAAATACATAGACAGTAGAACCTACCGCCGAGCTGGAATTCCTCGTTGTATGTTACGCAAGAGGAGACAAAACGGGCTGCTCACTTCAAATGTCACCGGTGTCAAAGTTTGGGCAGCTGCGACGCCTATAATCTTTGCGACACGCTGGCTGCCGGTATAACAAACTACAGGCATTTCTATATAACATTAAGCACGAACATCAAGAATGGACTTACTGTGTCCCCAAGGATATTCAAGAAGCTGCATAAGAAGCCTATGGTATTAAAACTGCTCCTATCATCGTGAAGAAAAGAAAAAGAGGGGCTGACCTTGCTTGTTTGTGGTATACCACCCTTGACAACCCTCACCACTTCAGGATCAAGATACTTGGGGAAAAGCTCTGCAATTACGTCTGCGGTCATAGGTGTCATCTCAGATGGTTTGATCGCTACAGTATTTCCAGCAGCGATCGCCCCTGCCTGAACGAGGTTCATTCATTCAGTAATCCGCTGTTTGAATACTGAAGAATTAAGTGAATCAAGTGATGACTGACAAGGGGGCCCAGAAGACACCACAGAGGGACGTTGAAAGGCCCGATGATCAGAACGACTCCCTTTGGCTCTTTCCTAATCTTAGGGTTCATAGAGAACCAGTTCAAGCTGAAGGCAGGTGATTCCGGTTTGCTCCATTTCTCGACATTCGTATAGGCTTCCCGGACTTCGGCAATGGTACCATCGATTTCCAAGCTATTCGTATCAAATCAAATGTGTCATGGTCAACAAGTTGAAGACATGCAAAGGAGCGAGCGACTGACAAATCGGTCTCGAGTGCTGGTCGTTTGAGGTCAATGGCCAAGGACTCTACAAAACGAGAGCGATTCTCATGTAGAAGATAACTGAGGTGGATGAGTTGATCTTTGCGATACTGGACATTCTTTGTCTTTCCTGAAGCGAATCCTTTCACCAAAGCATCCCTTATCTGCATCGATGTACTATAAGATGTCATTTCAGAATCGTTTGTCAATTGGCTTACCACAGGTATCTCTTCTATGGGCGTACTGTTGAACGACATGACGGTGACTGTGACGTGAGAAAAACACAGCTGCTGACTCGAAAGAGGTTTAGAGAAGGAGGATTTCGTCTATAGCACGAACCTCTTAAAGGTCAGAATCCTTTTTCACACAGTCGGCCTCGTCTTCCAGAGAGGTGAGATTTGATACTACAATACGCATCTTCTGGGTCAATCAGAATCAAAATACGTGATCGTAGTGTGCAGACATGAGAGTTAGAAGCCCCTGCTCGTTGTAGGCCTCGCGATAACGTCCTTGACATTTTGACTTTTCTTGGGAAATAGAAGCTCTGCACTCAATCAACAGGGAGTCCAGTTTCAAATTTAGCCAGCCTGGCTTTCGCATGGGGTGCCTGGGGAGAACTCTTTTAGTTGAGTGTGAATGAAGACACGTAGGCTTAAAACATTTTGCCGGTGTATATGTCACGTCGGACAGACAGAAGAAGAAGGGCACAGCATGACGCGAGAGACGATAACGCAGAAAACAATAGAAGAGCAGACTTCAGACAGACTCTGAAAGCGTAAAAATAGAAGACACCCAGTTTGAGCTCTACGATGAGTTGCATAAAGCTGAATAGAGCGAGGGCATGATTTTTGAGATGCATGACTGGTTCACAGAAGTATCGCTATAACTTCGGGTGTCTTGGACAGTCTGTGAAGTCGCCGACATACGCAATCGCGGATTGGTATAGTGATTGGCCAGCCACCGTGAGAAACATCGAGGAATTTGGACTTCGTCACCCGAGCTTCTTTGACGTGGAAAGGCGAGTCTTTGGGAAGTGGTTTATAGACAATGTCAAATCGCAAAACATCCTTCAAAAGATTTGATCATCCAGTGTGTATGTCACAAGAGGCAACAGAAGAGCACAGCACGATGCAGAATATGAGGTTTCGAACAGTAATAAAGGAGCAGCAAGCTTCGGACAGACACCCAGTTTCAGTTCTATGAGGAGTCGCAAAAAGCTGAATAAAGCGAGGGCATGACTTCCAGATACGTGACCACTTGACGAGAGTGTTGCTACGGCTAGTGTATCTTGAACAACCTGTGAAGTCACTGACATAAGCAAATGTAGATAGGCACAATGATTGGCCAGTGCGAGAAACGCCGAGGAAGAAGACATTATGATTGGTGCCAGAGGAGCCTGCGAGTCCGGCACCCGAGTCCAGCCGAGCGTTAGTGCACTCGCGAAGTTTTCACACCTCCTGCCTCTCTTCACTCTCGACGTTCTTCGTAGAGTCGCATACTTCCCCCGTACAGCCGTATATTCAGTACCTTACTGTCTTTTACTTGCATTCAAGTCTCTTTTTACTTTTATTCACTCGCCCTGCACTCTCCCCCCCACCAAAATTTACCATAATGGTTCAGGAAAATGAACAACATAATCAAAATACAGTGACTCACAAAACCCTTTCAATATTTGTCAAAATTTGCTTTCATAGGCAATATCTTCTCACTGAGAATGAATATCAAAGTGCTGTTATATAGTCTGAAAGGGTAGTGTCTTGGCTCCAATTATCACTCTGGGTCATGTGATTTGGTTCAGAATTAACAGAGATACTTGAATTGCAAAGGGCACTACTCATTGAAAGGATTTTGTTGCGCGCTATTCTACCAAATGAAAACTTGAAATTTGAGTACTTGATAGAGTTTTCTCTTGATTTAAATTAGTGTGTAGACCTACCAAGGGATGCTCCAAATTGAATGAGAACAAGCCTTCTTTGATACAACCTCTTATTTCTTCTGCATTCTCTTCTATCGCTTTGATATCTCTTTTGATAATATTCTCAGTTCTCCAAGCTTTCTTCTCAAATGGTTTCAAGAACTGTTAATAAGATTTATTTCAGAGGACTGAATTGAGTATAGAGAAACCTCAAACTTATAACTTTTCAGTCAGTTCTTAGCATTTTTTAGGATATTTGTTTTACTGAAAGTCAATACCCTTGAAATGTTTCTATAATATCTCAGATACTCTCAAAGTTTATCATTAAGTGCATGTGTGTATAGATTGACATTGACAATGTTTTCATGATTTATCATATATCTCACTTTCATTTATTGTCTATACCCCTATGCACACTCTTCAATTTTAACTATACTATGCTGAATATGTTAAACTCTGTCATGAAATATTAGAAGTGAAGCAAAAATTACTAGAGATAGTTGCTTCATATATATAAGATCAGTATTAGTTATCTGAGATTAAAAGATCAAAAGTCAATATTAAAAAAGAAGATAAACAATGTAAACAATGAGTTCTTACAAAGCATAGCTAGAATTAAAGAGTGTGCATAGGGGTATAGACAATAAATGAAAGTGAGATATATGATAAATCATGAAAACATTGTCAATGTCAATCTATACACACATGCACTTAATGATAAACTTTGAGAGTATCTGAGATATTATAGAAACATTTCAAGGGTATTGACTTTCAGTAAAACAAATATCCTAAAAAATGCTAAGAACTGACTGAAAAGTTATAAGTTTGAGGTTTCTCTATACTCAATTCAGTCCTCTGAAATAAATCTTATTAACAGTTCTTGAAACCATTTGAGAAGAAAGCTTGGAGAACTGAGAATATTATCAAAAGAGATATCAAAGCGATAGAAGAGAATGCAGAAGAAATAAGAGGTTGTATCAAAGAAGGCTTGTTCTCATTCAATTTGGAGCATCCCTTGGTAGGTCTACACACTAATTTAAATCAAGAGAAAACTCTATCAAGTACTCAAATTTCAAGTTTTCATTTGGTAGAATAGCGCGCAACAAAATCCTTTCAATGAGTAGTGCCCTTTGCAATTCAAGTATCTCTGTTAATTCTGAACCAAATCACATGACCCAGAGTGATAATTGGAGCCAAGACACTACCCTTTCAGACTATATAACAGCACTTTGATATTCATTCTCAGTGAGAAGATATTGCCTATGAAAGCAAATTTTGACAAATATTGAAAGGGTTTTGTGAGTCACTGTATTCTGGGTGAGCAGGCTGCAGGGCGGTACTTGCAAGGCTTTGCGCCAGATGACCTGGAAGGTATTATAGGTTTCTTCTGCACATCACCTTTGGGCTTAGTACCCAAACCTCATTCCGATCACCTGTGAATGGTGCAGGACATGTTGTATTCCCGAAACAATGTACGCTATATATCACACTAGTTTCGTAGCCAATGATAGTCATATTCAGCATATGTAGCCCAGTATTCCTTCCATAAATGCCGGTGTCAATTCTGACAACTTTCCAACTGAATGGGGAATCTTCGACAGCACCAGTGAAATGATCCTTGGACTTCCTGCAGACTGCAAAGTAGCTGCGTTCGACATTTCCTCAGCCTACCATCTCACACCGGTTCATCCAGAACAGCAACATGCACTGTGCATCTACTGGAAAGACAAAGTGTACCTCGACCGCGCTGTAGCATTTGGTTTATCCTCCAGTGCTGGAGTGTTTGGGGCAGTCGCCGATATGCTGGTTGCAATCTATCGTACCTCCGGCTTTGGGCCTATTCGCAAGTGGGTCGATGACTTTCTCGTCATTCATCTACCTCACCAAACATGGTCCGAGGACGATTTCCTCCACTTAACTGAACCTCTTGGTGTTCCTTGGAGCAGGGTGAAGACAAAACCACTAGCATCTGTCCAACACTACATTGGGTTCGACTGAGATTTAGACCACAAAGTTGTGTCTCTGCCGACCGAGAAACTTGAGGCAACACATGCCTTGCTTTCCCTCTGGAAGTCAGCAGGCAGGAAGTTCACCATGAAAGAAACAGCGAGCTTGCATGGCAAGCTAGTTCACATCGCAACCATCTTTTCACTGCTAAGACCCTTCCTCTGATCAGCCTCACATTTTGCTGGCTCATTCAAGTCCCATCGCGCACATTTATGACCACCGGCATCACTTCTTACAGATCTCAACTGGATAGGACACCTGCTACCTTTGTTACTGAACAAGTTGCCCCTGTCTGTTCCAACACCATTCAATTTAGGTTGGTGGGGAGATGCCAGCACATCGTTTGGCATTGGCATCATTGTAGGACCATACTGGGCAGCATGGACATGGGTAGCAGGATTTCATGTAGGGCCCCACCAGACTCATGACATTGGCTGGGCTAAAGCAGTCGCAGTTGAACTGGGTCTTCAAGTGTTATTGCACCATAGAATGCTCTCCCAGGTGCCACAATCGTCAATGTGCCTCCTTGTTCGATCCGACAACAGCGCAGTTGTCCATGTGGTGAACAAAGGCCGGTCCAGGAGCAAAATGACCAATGCCACCCTCAAGGATACATACTCCCTCCTGGTGCAACACCACCTATCTCTTGAAGCATGCTATATCCCTAGCCATCTGAATGTCACTGATGCCCTCTCTCGTGGAGATGTCCAAGCCTTCCTAGCTGGTTTTCCAACTGCAACCATCCAAAGTGACCTACCGCTCCCGCCATCTCTCGCCCACAAACTGTTATCACTGTGATGCCAGCCTCTGCTGTGAGGGTAGTATCTTCCACTTCCTGTCCAGGTATTGGAGAGATTGAGCAGTTAGGCCAACTCCAGCTACTACCGTCTCTCCTACGGCTGTGCTGCCATGCAAATGAATGCCTCTTCCTCTGGAAAGGTGTCAACTCTCCACCATCACCGGTCATTCAATCTGACATTCTCAGGCACCTAGCTGATATAGCCTCATGAGCATCACTTAAAGATGCCGGCAACTACGGAGCTGGACTTCATAAATTTCATTTATTCTGCAATATCTTCTCAGTTCTGGAACACAACTGTCTCCCGGCCTTATTTGAGCTACTACACTCCTTTGTTCTTTGGGCGGTGGCAGATCCAGATCCATTGGAACCCATATTTGCAGACGGAACACCCTTTGAACCAGTTTCTGTACAGGTGGGTATGAAGTACCTGTCGGCAATATGTGCATGGCACTTAGCACAAGGGTGGCCTCCCCCCTTGTCTGACAGTGACCTGGATCACATTCAGTGGTCGACCCGTGGCCTCGAACGCATTCAAGTGGGTCGCCGTACAAAGCCACCCAGATCACCGGTCACACTACATATGCTAGCAACACTCCACCGGATGTTGAATCTGAATGACCCATTTGAGGCCTGTATATGGGCAGTAGCGGCATGCACTTTCTGGGGCTGCATGCGATTTGGTGAAGTGACAGTCAAAACCAGAGCTGCCTTCTCCAGTTCAGTACACCTGAAGCGGAGTGATGCATTCTTTGGATACGATCTAGATAGCAAGCCGTATGCACGTCTAGACCTACCATCAGCCAAAACAGCCAAACCGGGTGAAATACAATGAGTTTTCCTCACTCTGCAGAATTCACTCTGTGCCCTACAAGCGCTGCAAAACCTTTTTCGGGTAGTTCCTGCCACAAGCAGTGATCCACTATTCTCGTGGCGAGACCGACACGGAAACATCAGGCCTATGGTTCGTGAAACGGCTCTTACATTTATTAACTCCATATTCTGAGTGTCAGGATGGGGCACCACCTTTGGTCACTCCTTCCACATTGGCGGTGCATCATTCTACCTTTCCCAAAAGGTAGACCCCGAAGTGGTCCCTCTCATTGGACGATGGCGATCACTTGCATATGAGACTTATATCAGAGCCTTTGAACTAGTCAACTCACGTCATACTGCCAATCTCGCCAGCAATTATGGTTACTAGTGCTGCCTCCGCTTTGGGTTGGGTATACGGCAAGGTCTGCCGCGGGACGCCTCAGCAGCTATAGAGTTGGGTAGGTGGCTTGACCTTGCCTGCGTCCATGCTCAGCTAACGCTGAGCCCAGCCCAACCTTAACACTGACTACACTTCGCAAAATGCGCGAAGATGAAGCTGGATTATGATTGGTGCCAGAGGAGCCTGCGAGTCCGGCACCCGAGTCCAGCCGAGCGTTAGTGCACTCGCGAAGTTTTCACACCTCCTGCCTCTCTTCACTCTCGACGTTCTTCGTAGAGTCGCATACTTCCCCCGTACAGCTGTATATTCAGTACCTTACTGTCTTTTACTTCCGTTCAAGTCTCTTTTACCCGCCCGCCCGCCCACTCGTGCTTTTGCTCCGGAAGGGTCAGGTTTTAGACTTATAGCGCGAGTGCTAGTGTGGGGGAGAGACCAGCCAAAGGCCTGTCTGGGGTGTGCCGGAGGGGGAACTGCGAGGATCACCCAAACCCGACGAAGTCGCAGCTGAGCTAGTTCGCGCAACGGCTCACCCCCCCAAGAGACGCAGACGGGAGAGGTATGTATTATGTACCACAGAGACGAGTGTAGATTACAAAACAAGATGAAAGATGTTTTACTAAGTAAGTGGATGCCGTTTGAACTGAGTACGAATCCTGCTGAAATGTGGGTTCATGATAGGTTGTAATAACTGAGCATGCATGGGTACAACAACCTCTAGTTTACGCCAATAATGCAAAAAGGCATCTGAAGACCACCGCCCCATTACTTTGATGATATCGGGAGGAACACCACACTGGAGTAGTTCTGTGGTACCGCCTATGCAGAAAGAGTGACCAGTGAAGCGTGGGATGCCGCAAGAGAGCCATACATTGTTGCATACTGCCAAGAACTTGTTCTTGGTGAGAAAAATCCAGGGGCCGGTGTGAGAGTCGCGGTAGGAAAACAATGGGAGATTGTCCGGGAAGTGATTCAACCGTAGATGGTGCTCACTGGAAGTCACGGGGCACGAACCCCCAAGTTGGCATGTGAGGCGAGTGTCGTCGCCGATGAATTTTTTCATTTTGGTGTAAGGGTAATGTAGACCGCGGGAACCATTCAAGGAAGATAAAGGACCTAAATGTATGCGGGAAGGGGTCCGCTTTGGGTCATGTTTGGATGCAGACTCTGCAAAAAGTTCGCCTAGGCGGAATTGACCCCAAAAAGCAATGTCAGCCACCGCGAGAACACAGGCATTGAGCGAGACGTTATTATCCAAGTGGGCATGAAGCAGCTCCAACATGCTGCATGTGATGGGCGGGTGTGGTGGTAATGCGTTGGGTGCCAAGCGGTCAACACCATTGAGGACATACTGTAGGTGAAGACCACCGTTCCAAGGTACGGCATGGATGATATGCCACGCGCGAATGGCAGATATGCGATTGCAGACTGTAGACAGAACAAGGCCACCAGGTTGCGAGGCAGCGAAGGCACAGAGCAAGTGCTCACTGGCTGGAAGTCGTGCAGGTAATGGGATGGCCTCAGAGTCGCAAAACGCGAAGAAGGCTTTCAAACCTGAGGTGTAGTTGTTCAAGGTGGAATCAGCCAAGCACATGAGGAGGACCTGTTGTAGATGCATTTCAGTCGACTTCGACAATTGTAGGTGACGCCGTGGGGCGTTGCCAGTGGGATGTGGTTGGAAAAGAATATCATGAGGTAGAGGGGGCCCGGTGTAGACAGGCAGAGGGGGTTTCCTCCATTGACGCTGAGTGCGAACATCATTCAGGAGTTGTTGCACCCATTCTTTGCGGGTTAAGGTGATCGCATAGTTATTTCGGGTGGTAGTCATTGTGCAGAGGTAACATACAACATGGGCACTCATTGGAATGACAAATACAGGTATGGTTATAGCGGGAATATCTATGAGTGGTCTTCAGAAATATGGATGAAAGGATAAAGATACAAGAGGAGAAACTATCGTACAAGAAGAAATGAAGATAAGTGTTTTGGCAGCGCAAAGGTGATAGGTGATTTAACACAGACTGGGGGAAGGATTCCGCGAGAGGGACCATCTGCAGGGTTATCAGCTGATGCAATATAGCAGGTGGTAATCCAAATGCCGGAGGCGGCGAAGATATTGACAATATGTTGTAAGATGCGGTTTTGCTGAGGGTTGCGAGAACAACCAGCTTTCAATGCACCATTGACACCTTCATTATCAGAGTGGACCAATACTTGGACACCCGTATATCCACTGGCAACTGCGAAATGTGTGGCGAGTTCTACTGTGACCATCTCAGCCCAGCCAATCTCACGGCCATCAGATTTCTAACCAGGTCTCAACTCCCATGCTAACCATCTGCCATTTGCAACAAGGCCAATTTCCCAAGAAGTAGAAGCATCAACAAATAATTGTAGATCTGTGACGGCAGGTGAAACCACCACGCGAGAGCCGCAGAATGGTCCAGACAGGCAAGTACGCCACCAGCACGCATCTTCCAAAACAGCAGGTGGGACCCTGTGTCGGGAGAAGCTGGAGCAGGCATTGCGGAAGCCACTGGCGAATCGGTAGAAAGAGGGCAAATGAGATCATCCTTCAGGGACCGCGAGGCAACAGTGATTGAGTGTACCCACGAGTTTCTCACAATCCTTGAGTGTAAATGTTGCCCCGGTGATCCAAGGTGCCAAGCGCTCAAGATACTTTAACTTCTTTGTTTCAGGAAGTTCCACGGTGCGAGAGGGAATGTTCCATGTGAAGCCATTGTAGGTGAAGGAAGACGCGAAGGGTGTGTGCTTGGAGGGAGACCACGGCCAGCCCAGTTTGGCAGCCACAGAAAAAATAAGAGACTCATCGTATGGATACTCGAATGAGCCGTCACGCAGACGCCGAGTAGGGTATCGCCAAAAGACAAAGTCGTCGACCCACTTGATGATCGCCTGAACACCATAGCGCTTGAAAATTCGAACAATGGCATCAGCCAATCGACCAAAGATTCCCGGCGCACTACAGGATCCAAAGGCAGCACAGTGGTCCAAGATGACTAAGCCAAGAAAGAAGATAACAAGGTAGGGTTGGTCATCGGGATGAATAGGGATGTTGCGGTATGCATTTTGAACATCATTGACAGAGGCCTGAGTTCCTTCGGGAGCATCTGCGATAAGTAAGACACACTCGACAAAGGTGCCCCACTCGCACTGGAACTCGCTTGCATCAATGTCATCATTGACGGAGAAGATACTAGGGTGGTTACGTGGAAAGGAGAAGTCCTGAATGATGTGGTAGGTGCCGGGGTTAGATTTGGGAATAATGCCCATCGGAGAGGTACGAAAAGGACCAATAAGGGACTCGAGTCGAGAGGGATGGAAAGGTCCAGAGTATCGCCGAGCAGATAGTTCAGTATGAATGTGAAGCTTGAGGGCCTCAGGGTTGCTCTGAGAAGACTGGTGATTAGGCGGAGTATAGGTAGCCATAATAGGGGCAGAAACACTGATGCGAAAACCGTCATGAATGCCAATAGGAATATCAGAAAACTCTGCAAGGCAGCCGGCTGCTTGCAGTTCATCCCTCCAGACGTTCCAGCGCAGAGGGGTAATAATCCGCCGGATAGAATCAGACCGCCCGGCATCACTGGGCAGCGTGATCTTTGGAGCCGCAGAGCGAGCAGACGTGAGTGAACTTGCAAGTGGTTGAATGGCAACCCCGGGTGTTGTGTGCATAGCAGACATGTGTGCCATCCGGCGTGAGTTTGCGGTAACCTTCTGACTTGAGGTAGGGAAGCAGTGCGGTAGAGCACTGCGTGCTGACATGGGAACGTTCTCCACAGAGGAAACACCAGTTTGCGGGAGGTTCCAAGGTCGGTCATTCACGCGGCAGAACTCGCGACTCACGAAAAGGTTGAGTCAGCAGAGGTGGCAGCCTAGCCAGTGCAGGTGGAGGTGGAGGTGCAGGAGCAGTAGAGGGAGTGCCATTATTCGCAGAGCGCCATGGGTATCCTTGTGAATCAAATCGTTCTTGACGATACAAGAGGTAGTCGGACTTTATAGCATCATAGATATTAGCCTGCCAGGTGCCTGGGTTGAAGTGCTGATGGGCGACAGCACGACGGCAAATATCCATGTCATACTGAATGAGCAAGCCATGAATGGAACGAAAGTCAGGATGGGCGATGATGTTGTGATAGTGAGCCATCCATGCAGATGCCAAAACATGGCGGCCTTCCTTGGGGCAGTAATGCATGCGAATGAGATGCGGCATGCGGTCAGCAGCATCGATGAAGTCTGTCATCCCCATCCAACGCTCTGATGTCTCCATTGCAGCAAGGTCACGGTTGATCAAGATGCCATTACGCAGTTGGGTGGTCTCTGCTCGCCGGGAAGCATACTGTTGACCCCGCGAGAACTCAGTCAAGATGAGGGTGAGAGGGAGGTAGTCCTTCCAACCTTCCTCCATTATGCGAACAGCACATGGAGGGAAGGGAACATTGCTAGCAGCCAGCTGGGAGGAACTGTCACCAAAGTCATGAGCGGCAATGGCAAGGTTCATGTTGGAAGGGCCAGCAACCGCATCTAAAGAGATATACAGTGTGAGCATGCTGCCACCAGAATGCACATGAACCATTGATAATCAAGGGAGGGAAGGGGTAAGAATCATTGCACAGGGTGGTAAGGGGTCACACTAATGGGAGGTCATGGTAAACGGAGGTCATGGTAAAGAGAGGTCACGGTAAAGGTAATGGTGAGGGGTCATGGTAAAGGTCGCAGTATGAGAACGGTAAGGATAGTGGTATGAGAACGGTAGGCGGACATGGTAGTACAGAGGACAATGGAAACTTACCTTGTGGAGAATATGTATAGGCATCAGCGGCGTGCCGTTGAGAGGCAGGCGGATGGAACATGTCCATCAATTGAGCATGCCGGGCGAGGAACTCCTCACGGGACAAGGGGGACATCCTTGCAATGCGGGCCCGGTCCTCGAAGGGGAAATCCCAACGATTCTCTGAAGGTTGAGGGCGAGGTACACTGGGAAATTGGAAGGCTTGTGGGTGAGGAATGTAGCTGTGGGCCGGAGGCTGATGAGGCTGCAACAATTGGAACAGAGATAAGGCGCCAGGATTGTGCTCCACCACTGGACATTTTCGGGACTGCCCACGCGAAGGAGATGGCTCACTGCATTCAGAGAAATGGCGCACATGGGGGGGACGTGCGGGTGAAACAACGATGTTAGGTACCAGCGGTAGAGGTGTTCACGGCGGATCATTGGGCAAGGAGCGTGTGGAGACCGAAATGTGCTGTATTGTGAGTCGAGGTGAACCTGGAGGTGGAGGGGCAACCTCCTGAAGCCCCGTGTCTGGCCCTGGCCCCACTACAGGAGAACGTACGAGTGGCGGGACAGCGGGTGTGCAGGGAATGGGCGTGAGAGGTGACGGTACAGGGTTGGAACCCGCTGCCTTCTGCCGGGTCTGACGAGTCATAATATTGGACAAAAAAGGGGGAGTGAGGGAAGGAACGGTGTAATTGAGTGGTTCAAAGGTGGGAGAAAGTTGCGCGGGAAATGTTGTCATTAGAGACGATGAGGGGGAAAGGGAAAGAGAGCGAGGAGCAGGTTGTATGCCCGCATGGCCCAACTAGGCAGTTTGGGGAACTCCGCATGCACGAGTCGTAGGACTCGAGGGCTCGAGTCCACTCATTTATTGTTTTGTACATAACAAGTAATACATTATTTTCAAATGTGTAGTCACAAAACCACAGTCACTCGGTCATTCCCACCCACCCGGGCAGCTTGACCTTGCCTGCGTCCACGCTCAGCTAACGCTGAGCCCAGCCCAACCTTAACACTGACTACACTTCGCAAAATGCGCGAAGACGAAGCTGGACCATGCAAACTTCTTCGATATAGAAAACCAAGTCTTTGAGAACCGGTTTACTGACAACGTCAGTATCACGAGATGCCTAGGCATGAACACAAGAGCACACCGTAGTTGACTGAGTTGCGAGAAGACAATGAAGCCTAAAATCCGTGTATCAACAACAACAATCAGCAGGACAGGCCAAACAGCCAGTTCTTCCAAGTACTCGCACCTTTACACACACACCGGCAGGCCCCAACTGATTATATCCTTCAAATTCAAAAAGGGTTTCATGGCTATCGATGCCAAAAGATTTGGCTTTCACAAATTAAAGCGTCATTAGCAACTCCTGGTCTCGATCCAGGGACCTCGGGGTTTCTGCGTATCTCACGGCTTATGGGCCCCGCGCGCTACCTCTGCGCCAAGTTGCTGTACTTACGATGCTCCTGAGGATATATTCATGAGGCTTTTGAGCAAGGAATTGATAGGAGAAACGGCTGAAGATGCAAGCGCAAAATAAAAGTAGCCCAATGCGGATATTTGTAGTTGTTAGGTTCGCAAGCGCTTGCTGGATTAGGAAGTATCACTTGGCGCCCGGTTTGGATTGGAATTTCGAAGAGGTTGAAGATAATGCTTAGGGAGAGAGCCGGTATAATATTCGCGAACGAGGACGTGGATGCGTTCGAGGAACATAAGGGTTCGGCCGAGGGTGTCGGCGATGAGAGCTTGAACGTTATGCCTATGACGAAACATGAGAAGTGCGTCTTTGGAGGGTATAACGCATCCTCCAGACGGCAAAATACGAGAGATACGGTTGAAGCTTGACGATCAACGATCGACGCGCGATATTTGGCAAGCAGTTCCTGTAACAAGTCAAAGGGCATGATGAAGCACGGAAGCCCGTACCAACGTGTTCACATCCAATCGCAAGGTAAAGAGCAAGAGAGATAACAACGGTGCATTGCCGAGTGAATTTGTAGTTTAAGACGTGTTATCAGAGTTCATCGGGGAAACATTTGGAGGCAGAGGGGCATATTTGGCAGAACGCAGATTGGTGGCAACTTCTCTCAGATCTTGGATCAACTTCGTGTAGCAGCTTAGATAGAACGTTCATAATACCGTCCGGAGTTACCCCGCAGCCCCGACATGCACATACAGCACCCTAGTAAAATTTTAAGCCGAATGTTACGGAAAGTCATCCACTTACTCGATAATGATGCACACCATGATGAATTGTAGAACGGGGCTTGGATGAGTGGGGTGCGGAGGGTCTAGGCGTCGTCAAAGGAACGCGGCTGGAACAATACTGCGCATGTATTGATTAACAGTGCGGATGCGACGCCGGAGAACGTGGGGCGTCGAGGAAACGTGGGTAACAAAGGGGGCGACGACGGCGACGGAGGTATTCGAGCTGTCACTGGCCAGTGGCAGCGAGCAGATCTTGAAGATTGGGGCACGGAGAAATTCAACGTCGGTTTGAAGAGATTTTCAATGGGAGTCCGCCGAGTTAGGCCGCGGCGGTGGCATCTCTGGAGGGGGCGACCGAAAAAGGCAACGGGGCGGTCTAGAATGACGCAAAGGGGTACCAATACCCATTTCCATAAATGGCGTAGGTCATGGATTTCTACCCTGCACTTACTCCTTGCCCTCGATCTCTTGCCTCTCTGCCTCCCTCCATCGACCATGGATAGTTTTGCTGAACCAGACAAGTTTAGGTCCGCCGCTCCACTCAACCTCGCCGACGTCCGCGCAGAAGTCCTCCGTTTAGAACAGGACCACCGTGCAAAGGGCATCCCGCTGTCCGGCCGTATTCTCCACCTCTGCCATTACCTCCCCGTCACGCTCGCCCTTTCGCCGCCCAACGACTCCACTGGCATTCCCAGCCCGCCCGCCACCCCGCCCGCGAAAGCGTCTGACATTCCTGAGAGCCCGACCGATGCGGCCTCCCCTGCCCTTGCCACGCCGAAGGAAGAGTTCAAGTCGTCGGAGGGCAAGTGGAAGATCGGCGGGAGATACGGCCACAGTGCCATGATTTCTGGCATTTCCTCTCTTGCCGCCACTCACGAGCAACTCATTATCGGCTGGACCGGCGACGTTGCTTCCACCGTGCCCATAGAACTCCCGCCCGTTTCGTCGCGTACCGACGTTCCCGAGCATCCTGATCATTCCCCTCATCTTCACCACCGTACCGTCTCCTCAATTGCCTCTATCGCTACTGCTCAAGACGATGAGGAAGAGACTGGTGCGGGTAAGAAGGTCCCGCTTGCTTCTATTAGCGAGCAGGACCGAAAGTCGCTTGAGGAAACTCTTAAGGACTATCCGGAAAAGATACGAGGGCGTAAAGAGGGTGAAAAGGACACCGCCTATGTTCCCGTCTGGATCGACGACAAGGTCGCTCATGGTCACTACGACGGTTACTGCAAGCAAAGTGAGCCGCCATTCGTTTACGCTCTCTGTTGATTTTTTCCCTTCAATATTTTACCATATTGGACGCGCTTTCTGCGTGTGGTCTCAGGTTCTATGTCTTTTGCCACCTTTTTTGTGGTGCATATACCCCACGGGTTCACGTGTCTCTTTTTGCATCGTTTCCTGTGTTGCTTATCCGGCTTCTGAGACATTTCGGTTCTTTTTACCGCTGGACGGACGTCCGTTACACCATTGGCTCGTTCAGGTGGTGAAACCGTCACCTTCTCTGATCCTTCAGCGGAATACACGTCCGTGTCTACATCTGGCATTCTTTTTTAATTGCCTGAAGTACACCGATGGCATGCATATAACGTGACATATTCGTGTGTTTTGTACCGGACCGCCTCTTTTCTCATCTTTTCGTGTTGTGGGACGTTGCATTCCTTTTCGAGTCCACCGCGAATCGTTTGCACGCGTGTACTCGAGCCGGACATCGTCGTTCTGTCATTGAATTTCCGTCTTCGTGTTCATTGTATGCGTGCTCGCGAGTGGAATTGGTGCTTTACTTCAGCTTTGGTGTAGACAGGCTTCCCGTTTCCGCGCATACACCCCGGTGAATCGACACAACGACGCCCGTTTCGACGGGATCTTCGCTGGTTAGTCTTGTGGTATCGTTGTCGTCAAAAGGCAGGCCTTCAGTTTGCTGCTTGAGCATTCATGCGTTTTGTCTCGTGAAGGTCGAACTGTGTTCTTGATTAACCGCGCGACATACCTAGACATGACGTTGTTTGTTTACTCAGTTACGAGTATCCGACCAATGCGGCGTTCCGTTTCATTCACATGGAAACACGTTGTATGCTTGTTTATCTCTTCTTTTCATCCCCGCTTTATCTTTCCAGTGATCAAGCGTCTCTCTTGTCAAGTGTCCGAGGTTCTTGCGATTGGACGGCGAATGTGAATCTCAATGGATCTAGTCTCATCTAGCTCTATCTTGACACGAGCCGATCGTTCATACCCCACCTTCCTTTATTGAATCTTCACTTCAGCTTCTTCCCGCGATACTGGGATAACGCTGACCCTTCTTGATTCAACTAGCTTTGTGGCCGTTGTTCCATTACCTGCTTTGGCAAGACGTAGCGACCGAGTATGCATCTGCAGATCAACATTGGCCGTCATACTATAAGGCAAACGAGGACTTTGCGAAGAAGGTCGCGGAGGTGTACAAGCCTGGTAAGTTCTTTGTCGTGAGTGCGTAATAGACGAAGCTGAGTTAGCGCAGGTGACCTGATATGGGTCCACGACTACCACTTGCTACTTGTGCCTCTGCTAATTCGGCAAATGCTGCCCGAGGCTGCGGTAGGATTGTTCGTGCACACGCCATTCCCAAGCTCTGAAGTCTTCAGGTGAAGTACTCATCTTTGCTTCCGTTCGCGCAATTTATTCATGACTTTGTTAGGTGTCTGCCTAGACGAAAGGAGATCCTCGACGGCATGCTCGGAGCGAATTTGGTCTGCTTCCAGGTTTGTCTAAACTGTCCTCGCTCTTTTAGAGTATACGCTGATGAATCCGGCAGACCTACTCCTACTCTCGTCACTTCACTTCTTCGTGCGTGCGCGTCTGCGGATACGAAACAACCTCCCGTGGGGGTATTGATGTCCAGGGCCACGTCGCCACGATTTCCTACTGTCCGGTTGGCGTTGATGCTGAACGTGTTGGTCGTGACGTTCTTCGACCCGGCATCCAACCCAAACTAGAAGCACTACGTACGCTGTACGAAGGGAAGAAGATCATCGTCGGAAGAGACAAGCTCGACGTTGTCAAGGGTGTCGTGCAGAAGCTTCGCGCGTTTGAGAAGTTGTTGCAAGATTACCCTCAATGGATTGGCCATGCTGTCTTGATCCAGGTGACGAGCCCTGCACTGTCAGATTCACCGAAGTTAGAGAGGCAGGTGTCAGAGATCGTCGCGCATATCAACGGGGAGTATGGGTCACTGGACTTTATTCCTGTCCATCACTAGTGCGTAAACTCGCTTCGATTTCTGGCTGCAGGTTTCTAACATTCTCGACAGCCACCAAACGATCAAGAAGGACGAGTTCTACGCGTTACTGAGTGTCGCTGACCTCGGCGTGATCACACCTCTGCGCGATGGCATGAACACCACGTCAATGGAGTTCGTCATTGCTCAAGAACAGACCAAGAAGAGCCCGCTGGTGTTGTCCGAGTTCATGGGAATCTCGAACAACATGAGTGAAGCGCTGCAGATTAACCCTTGGAACCTGGGGGTACGTCCTGCTGCAGCACATTCTTACCGTGATCTGTCGCTGACGGGATCCGGATCACAGGAAGTGGCGGCGGCTATGCACCGGGGGCTGACGATGTCGGACGAGGAGAAACTGCGAAGACACACGAGCCTGTACCATACCGTAACGACCCAGACATCGCATACGTGGGCGGGGATGTTGGCCAAGATGTTGTTGGAACAGCTTGGGCGGCAGAACTTGGCGAAGCAGACACCGTTCATCCCCAAGGATAGGTTGGAGAAGTCGTACCTTAAGGCAACGAAGAGGTTATTCTTGTTCGATTATGATGTACGTTATTGTTCCTATTTTCTTGGTTCATACGAAAGGCTAATTTTGTTCTTGGTATTTATAGGGTACTCTCGCGCCGATCGTCAAGGTTCCAAGTATGGCCACTCCCACTCCAGCCACGCTCGAAGCTCTCGAGAAGCTCGCTGCAGACCCAAAGAATATCGTCTATATCATCTCAGGACGTGATGGCGAGTTCCTCGAACAGCATCTCGGTCATATCAAGAACTTGGGTATGTCTGCTGAGCACGGTGGTTTCATTCGCGAACCTGGAAGTAAAATTTGGGCGAACTTCACCGAGAATTTGGATATGAGTTGGATGGATGAGGTCCTGGAGATCTTCAAGTACTACACCGAGCGCACGACTGGAAGTCAAATCGAAACCAAGAAGAGTGCCATTACTTGGCATTACCGTTCGAGTGACCCGGAGTGGGGGTAAGTGCAACTTGTCGTTGACCCATTCCTTGTTTCGCGTATCTGACGCCCCTTGTGCAGCTTGTTCCAATGTAGACAATGTCAGGACTTGCTCGAGAATAACTTGGCTCGCAAGCGACCGATAGAGGGTACGTCTTTGGCGCATCGTCTGTTATGCGGTTAGGTGTTGACCTCCTTTCTTATGTAGTCCTCGTCGGCAAGAAGAACCTCGAAGTTCGCCCGATCGCCGTCAACAAGGGCGAGATCGTCAAGCGTATTCTTTACTTCCACCCTGACGCCGAGTTCATTTTCTGTGCCGGTGACGACAAGGTACGCCTTTCCATTTCGGCCTCAGTGTCTGCCATCCTTACATTGTTTAATTGTGCGTGCTACAGACCGACGAAGACATGTTCCGTGCTCTTCTCCTTTTCCAGAATGATAACTCGAAAGCGGTCCTCGAGGCCCCACTCTCCGTCACCCTCCTCGCTGATAACGACACGACCAAGTTCGAATCTGTCGAACTCGCCGTCACGCGTGATGATATTTTCACTACCGCCGTTGGCCACAGCAGTAAACGTACGCTTGCTGTGTGGCACGTCACGACTCCGGAAGAAATCGTCGAACATATGCTTCATCTCGTTGCCACGTCTGCTGCTCCCGAAGAGAAGAGCAACCTCTGAACGTTGGTCAAAGACGATGGTCCCCTGACAACTCAATTCACGATATTCACGGCATCGGACAATGTCATGACTGCTTCAAGCTTGGTCTTTTTCGTTGGTTTTTCTATGCTCATCTTTCGGGGCACGATTTACTTATGGACTGTGACTCTTTTCCTCACTTCACTCACTTTACAACCCAACTTTACATGTACAAATTTTTTCAATCAGATATTCACGAGGAAGTAGACATCCATAGTTGCAAGTAGCCAAGTTCTTTTTCTGTATTCAGGGGTCCCATACCCCATTTTACACATGGGAGAGAGAGAAAATAGAAGAATTCATATCATAGACATAGAGATTTTTGTCTTCACAAGCGGGATGAAATGACAGGATAGACCAAGAGATAAGAATGGTAAGAGCGGTGGGGATGCAGAAATTCGCGAACGACCATAAAAAGCAATAATCACAGATTACACTGCATCAGCTTGCATAGGGATGGCTTGACCACCCTTTGCAGCGCTGGGTGTGAAGGTATGCCATCTGTCGTTGAAGCGGACGTCTACGAAGACCGGCAATTAGCCCGATGCTCATTAAAGGCAAATCTTGTGAGAGACATACCCAAGGGTCGACCACCATACATGTACTGCTGGAACTTGGCGATAGCAGTTTCCGCCTCCGGGATCGCCGCAAACTGGACAACACCAGCGCCCTTTGATCGCGCGCCGTCGTACAAGATTTCAGCCATCTCGACTGTACCGGTGGTCTCGAAGAGTTCAACCAGATCCTCGTTCGCAGTTGACCAAGGCAACTAGAAAGAAATTCACGAAAATCAATCAGCTTTCCTACCGGACGAATGAACTGGATAACGTACGTTGCGAACCATGATTTGCTGACTTGGCTCGGGCTCGAAACCAGGAGCGGGAGGAGCACCTCCATAACCACCGGCAAATCCACCAGCGCCGTACCCGTCCATCCTCATACCACCGGCGCCACCTTGATCAGGGCCAGAGTAATCGGCATACAGGTCTTGGTTGTTGAAGTCTCTGCCGGGGGCTTGAGCGGCGAAGCCACCACGGAAGCCACCGCGCAAGCCGCCTCTAAGTCCTCCGCGCAAACCACCACGAAGGCCACCGCGCAGGCCGCCACGGAAGGAGCCGGGACCAGAGAGACCAGCGTAACGGTCCTAGGCAATGATGGCATAAGCATGAGATGAGGGATGTGGACGAAAAGAATTTACCTCTCGAACTTCGAGGATACGTCCGTACCAGTCAAACCCATTGTACATAGCTAACAGACAGCCTAAGTACACGCGACACAAGGCGCAAAATGGAAAATGGAAAATTGAGAGCTTACAGATAGCTTGCTGGGCGTCCTTCGAGGTCTCGAAGATGACAGTACCAGATCCCTTTGGACGGCCATCGGCACCAATGTTGATATCTGCACGAATGATGTTGCCAGCAGATCGGAATAGATCCTTGAGATCTTGCCAACCAGCTTGGTATGGCAACTGTAAAAGTTGACGAGTGTCAGCCTGAATTGGATTATGATTAGAAAAAACGACGACGTACGTTCCCAACGTAGAGTTGGTTTCCAGGATTTTGAGGATTCTGGTGGCCGAAAAAGTTGTGTGATGCAGGACGAGGAGGTGGTGCTGCGTGTAAACCTTGGCCAGCCATGGCCATACCAATCTTACCTGGGACAGGCGTAGCACCGAAGCGCGACTCGTTCTCGCGGTCCTAGGTGCTACAGTGAGGACTGAACTAAAGACATGCTGATGGCAACCGCTCACCTCACGAATGAACACTGGTCGACCCAAAAGAGGTTGTTCTGAGAGCTCGCGGACGGAACGCTGAGCATCCTCCTGCGAGGCAAATTCGACGATACTGCAAAGTGAGGCGTGAGACAGGTAAAAAAAAAGGTATGAAAACCTAAAGCAACGTACCCGCATCCCTTGGAGATACCCGTTGGTGTAACGAGAACTTCGGCGAAAAGGACCTCACCGGCTAACCCCAAAAGAAAACTCCCATCAATAAAACCATCCTCTCAACTCGCCAATTCCGTCAGTAAATGAGAAGTGCGTCACGAGCGCATACGCCAGTGCCCCAGTCTGTGTCTCAAACGACCACCACTTCTACTGCCGCTGCTACTGCTGCTGCCGCTACTGCTGCTGCTGCTGCTGCTGCTCGCCGCCCCCAAGCAAACTCGGCCCGGCTCAACTCGACAGGACACGGCGACTTCTCGCACCCAAATAAACCGACAACTGACGACGGCGACAAGAAAGCTAATCTGAGATTATTCCCCCACCCACCTCCCCTCATAAATTCCATCAGGTCCCTGTACTTGACGTCGTAACTGAGGTTGCCGACGTAGACCCGGTTTTCTCTCTTGCTTTGCTTGGCAAATTCAACGGCTTCTTCGTGTGGCGCATTCATTGGTCCACCAAGGGAACGAGCGAATGTATCTACAGGTCGTCTTTCCCGACTGCGAGAGCGGGGAGAGCGAGAACGAGACTTGCTTCGCGTGCGTGATCGTCGAGAGCGACGACGGGGTGAAGTGGACCGTCTACGAGAACGGGAGCGCGAGCGACTACGTGACCGTCGTCGACGCTGAATCACAGATAAGTATACCGCTAGGTACCTTTCCAAAGATTGTTATGGCACTCACCTCTCCGTTGCGCCTCTCGTCGGGTTCCCAGTGATCGCCACTCCTACGAGAGCGTCCTACAAAGAGATCAGTTAAGATGTCAGTCGAAACAATTCCATGACACCTACCAGAATCTCTGCCCCCACGATCTCTTTCTCTTTCTCTGTCTCGCTCGCGATCCCTGTCCTTGTCGCGATCTCTCCTATCCGGCGCGGGCGGTCTCTCACGTTCCCTGTCGCGTTCAGCATCTCTTTCTCGCTCTCTGTCGCGCTCCCTTTTGTCGTCGATGTCGTCCTTGACCTTCATGTCGATATCCATTTTGAAGAGTGAGAATAAGAGGAAGCAGTGGCAGACGTCGTCGTCGTCAAATACAAAGCTCACGCGGTCCAAATTTCACCCCAGCTGGCTTTCAATCTGATTTCCTCTTTCGGTCCCTTCGGCGCTTACTCAACATTTTCAAGCTTACACGCAGAAAAGTGACAACAACGCTCAGTGTCTCGCACACGATGTGCTATAAACAAAAGATCAATTGTGAAACCTAGGGGATATAGAAGAGAACAGCCAGAATTTGCAAGTACTAGGCTCCGATCTGGCTAGAAATATAGAGCAGTAAGATTCAGATATTCGCATTCACCGATTGATCTTGAATTGCTAGGACGGGACATGAAACTCATCTTGAATTGCTAGGACGGGACATGAAACTCATCTTAAGAGTCATAAATCGCCTTCAAAGGTGGCCTCACCATTCTCGAGTGCTTGTTGAATGACAGAATTGAGATTATCTTTATCAGATAGACCAGAGAGGATATACACCGGCGGCACAGGTGTGCTGATTTTAAGTTCCACAAAGAAGACCTTCTCATCGGGTGTCTTGATGTCATGCCTTGGGGTGGCAAAGAGTAAAAGAGAATAGAGGTCAGTTGCAGACAGGATGAGGTTATGGATATGATCATATATGTGGGTCAGATGGGCAATCATATCATCCCTCGATAAACCTTCTTGCTGACAATAGGGACAGCACCAGATGGGTCTTTGAGCCTATTCTCTGACCATATGTTCCAAAGCAGCAGCCTCAACATCAGCAAAATGTCAAACTCGCTTTTTATACTTATTGGCACTTATTCAAGCCAATTCAGGAAAAAAGTCATTCAGTAGGTTCTTTTTTATTAAGTCGGGCATAAGAGTGATTAAGTGTAGCAAGAAGAACTTTGAATAAAAGTATTAAGTGATAAAGTGGTACCAGTTTTACATCTAGAATATGTTCGCGCGATCATCCTCGCGCTCATCCTTGACAGTATCACCCATGCCAATGGCCTTCCCCCTGCACGCATCTGCATGAAAGATAATTTCATCCCACTCAACATCTTCCAATGTCGCGATCGAGAGAAGGTATTGGGTTGTCTTCTCACCCCATATATCATGTGAGAATGTGGCCAGCTTCTTCTCTTCTGAGGTTCTTGGCTTGACCACTTGTCCGGTCTTCCATTGCTCCAGTGCTCATTCCATCTAGAAAGGCCATGATGCAACAGTAAACAACAGGGAAGATGTGACACTATGAAACTCACTGCAACACATGCCAGGCCAAGGGCGCATGCTGGATATTTGCTGAAGTCTGTGGGTCCTCATCTCGTGGCTGAAAGGTGGTAAGCGAACGTCTTCAGTAGCAACAGCCCTTGGAAATGACCGTCATGTTTCTACCATGAATTTATGTCATTAGTAATGAAGATACAAATAAAAATTGCAACTTACCAATTCCCCGGTTTCCTCACTCATGTAGGTGTCGACAGAGAGGAACGGAAGGCCAGTCCCAAGGGCTTCACTTACAAATAATGCATGCTCCTCTGGTGTCTTGAGATCGTTCTCCAGGAAATGCATCTTAAGAACATCCACGGCAGTGCACGAGAATGTGTTCCTGTATTTACTAGTCTTTTGATGCACCTATCAAAGAAATGCATTAGCATTGCAGTTGAGATGCTTGGAGATATGCACAATCTCCCAAACGGTGTGTCCTGGTGCAAGGTTGGCACAGGCACATCTGGGAATATTTTGCGCCATTTCTGGCCAATGACTGCTGCCCAGTCAACATCAGCTAGGAGCCATGGCTCCGGTCGTTCATTGATGTAGTCAAAAATGCGAGGTATCAATGACTTTCGAAAGGTGGACATATAATGAGGTGGAAGCAGCAGGTCAGAGTTCTTGAAGTGTCTTGGTCTTTGCTGTGTCACTGCCGGTGTAGTAGGTGGTGGGGCAGGTTCTTGTTCTGAAAATTCGATCAACACCATGCCCTTTATGGAGTATCAAATTACTAGTTACGAGGATGTGGGGTAATGATTGGATGCACCTGCACTGTCTGTCTATCTCCGATGGTCTCTACCAGCTGTTCACCAACCAACTCAGTTTCATCATCATCGACATACCCACCATACCAAATGCTGTCCTCTTCAATTGTGGAAGCAACGGCTGATGGGGTTGAAGGGGTCGAAGATGGTGTTTTGGCATTGGCAACCAGAATGCGACCTGCAAATGATGAGCGCAAACCAGCAGGATGACTGGGTCATGCTTTTTTTGAAGCAACAATTGCGGGGATGACTGTGGAGAACATGCTGGGAAAGATAAGATATAGATATCCATTAGCATCTAGTACCTAGAATAGAAGCTCTTGTCAAATGTTGAATACAACTCACCTCTCAACAGCCACACTCTTCCATTTGCATATCTTTTCATCTGCCCTCTGAATGGTGTCTGAGGCTTCTTGTGACTCCACTTGGGTGAGCTCTTCATGTCTCTTGTTGATATCTTCTCGTGTCGGCTTTGATACAGCATGGGAATGATTAGGGGCCTTCAGCTCCTGAGCATCATCCCCTTTGCTGACCTCTGCCTGCACAGGTTCTTCTGCGACCCCCACAGGGCTTAACACAGGCTTAGGAATTTGTCGTGTTTGCATTCCATGTGCTGTGGCTGCTATTGCCCTTCGAGTGCTTGCAGGCACAGTGGGTGGAACAGAGAAAAGGTGAGCACTCGCCTCCTTGTTTCGTAGCTGACCCTCAAGTTCAGCAATGCATTGAATAAGAGCTTTCTCCTTCTCTGCAGCCTCTCTTTTCTTTTCCACCTGTTTCTTCCTAACCTCAGCCATCTCTGCGGCACTTCAACGAGGTGCATGATCACTCTTCAGGATGTTCCCTGGATGCTGTTCAGCATTCTTTTGGCAGGTACCAATGTGAGCCGGTGTCGACATGGGTTGGACATCTTGCTGAGACATTGCTGTAGATGCCATATACTGATTGAACAAGTGAATGCATGGGGAATTGATGGAATTCTCACCCTTAGAAAAATTATGATGAGCGATGTAGAACAGTGAGTGTTGCTGAACCTTTCCATTGCTTGTTGACTTAGTTTTAGCCACCAGACATCAACTGTATAGTTGAACGCCGGTTGACTCCTGAGACTTATACTAATTTTGGACAAATCTCCTACAACTCTTGTGTGCTCTATCATATCCCAATATGCTTCCTCGCCATAAAGCTAACGTCCTTCGCATCCCATGTCTGTTCTGCAACTGAACATTTCATTGAGCATCTGGACTTACAAAACACAAGAACACTGAACATCTTAATGACCCTCGCCTTTGTAATAGTGGCCATCTGCCGCTCCCTACATATCCTGGCAATCAATGACACTATGACCATGCTGAGGGTGATGCTGCATTTGAAGATCTGCAGGATGCCCTAGGTGACTTTGGCGGGTTGTACAATGAAGGACCTAGTGCAAGTGATAGCGAAGATGCTGCTGCATGCAAGTTACATCGCGATTACCATCCAGATGTCAACAGTATATCATTTCTTTCTTTTCTTCATGCATTCTGCTTATTCTTTGACTCACCAGGACATCCATGCAACATACTCAGCACCAACCTACCTCCTGGCACTGCCGCTCCACCTTACACCACTGCCAATCCAAATGATTAGACTCCGTATAACGATCAGCTTGAATTTGAACTTGCCGAGTTTCTTTTCAAGTGAACACAGATGTCTGCTGAGAACATTGACTTCCTAATAGAAGCATTTGCAGCTTTCGCATATCCATTCAGTGTCAATCTGCCATTTGCAAACACAAAGGATATGCATGGTGTCATTGATTCTACACCATTGGGTGATGCGCCCTGGCGATCTTTCACTGTGCACTATACTGGTGCCATTCTGGATGGAGAGGTTCCATCTTGGATGTCTGCGACATATGACATTTGATGTCGTGATCTGTATACAGTTGTCCAAAACATGCTCATGAACCCTGATTTCAAGGATGAGTTTGATGTTGCACCTTATCGAGAGTTTGATGGTAAGGATCAGTGACAGTACACAAACCTAATATCTGGAAACTGGGCATGGTGCCAAGCAGTATGTTATTTTCTCCTCTCACATGTAACCGAGAACTAACTTCTGTACTTCATAGGATGAGATAGCAAAGGATGAAAATACGCATGGTGCTATGTTCGCACTGATCATACTGGGGAGTGACAAAACAACTGTGTCCATAGCTATAGACCAGAACAAATATTACCCCCTCTACCTATCTCTTGGGAATGTACACAACAATGTTCGACATGCACACCGCAATGCCATTGCCATTATTGCATTTCTCGCTATTCCAAAATCAGAATGCAAATATAATCAAGACAAGAATTTCTGCTTCTTTCGATGTCAGCTCTTTCACTCGAGTCTATCAGCAATTCTTCGACCTCTTCATGCAGCAATGAAGACTCCAGAGGTGATGCACTGCCCCAATGGTCACTTTCAACATGTTATCTATGGCCTGGGACCATACATTGCAGACTACCCAGAGCAGATCTTGGCCACCTGTGTCATTCAAGGATGGTGTCCATTATGTCCAAAAAAGTGAGACAAGCTGGAAATCGCTGGAAATGATGAACACTGATCCCGCGAGCACACTGAAGCTCTTCTGTCACTTTTCGACCTGACTTCTCTTTAGAATGAGTATGGTATCATTGGCAACCTTATTGTGAGTATTCTGCCACTAGTATCATCATCATATACTGATTGATATTGATGGCTAGCCATTCACTAATGATTTTTCAAGGGCCGACATCCATGAACTTCTCTCCGGTGACATTCTTCATCAGGTCATCAAAGGATCTTTCAAAGATCATCTGGTCACTTGGGTCGGTGAATATCTTGTCGCAACACATGGTGAAGCAAGGGGGCACGAGTTGCTGGATGAAATTGACTGCCGGTATGTTATTTTAGTAGCTGTATTGATGTTAATGCTAATATCTCTGTACTAGAATTGCAGCAGTTCCTCCATTTTCAGGGCTTCATCGCTTCCATCAAGGTCGTGATTTCAAGCAATGAACAGGTGATGATTC